AGGCTTTTGTCCATCATCTTTTGCGGTGGTCTTTTGATATTTTTTGTAATGGCCTCGTGGATGTCAGAAATCCAAACTATATTTTGACTTCCTGCGGCCGTCCTATTCTCTGAAGAAATTCGCTAACAAATGCTGAGCTGCCAGGCTGCTGGACTACATAGTTATCAAAGGAAGTTGGGAAGCAATACTTCCGTGTTACGGACAAATAGAATTCTGAGATTTGAAATGATGAAGGGCGGTAGATCGTATAACAATACATAACATATCAATACATAACAAAAAAATTAGAAGCGGTGGAATTGACCTTGATGAAGGGTGCTGACAATGACGGGGTGGTGATGAAGGGATGTGGTGACGATGGGAAGTGGTGACGATGGGAAGTGGTGACAATGGGAAGTGGTGAAGAAGGGAAGTGGTGAAGGGAAGTGGTGAGAAAGGGAAGTGGTGAAGAAGGGAAGTGGTGAGGAAGGGATGAATGGGAAGTGGTGAAAAGGGAGTGGTGAGGAAGGGAAGCGCGGGGGGTGACGGAAGGAGGAAAAGTGTTGATTGGGGGAGGAAGCCGGAGCACGAAACCTTGTGTTTTTCCGTGTAAAGTGGCTGCAGCCGGCGATGAAAGGTACCTCGTCTGTGCGGCGGTTGCGGCTGGGGTCGTTCCGGACGCGATTGGTTCCTTCTATGTGTTTCGCAACAAGTGGTTGTTCCTGTGTGCGTAGTTCTGTGGGTTTCCTGAAGCTGTGGTTGCAGATTGCATTGTAGTGGCTGCATGAATGTTGCATGGGCTATGTTTTGGGGAGGAAGCCGGAGCACGAAACCGTGTGTTTTTCCGTGTAAAGTGGCTGCAGCCGGCGATGAAAGGTACCTCGTCTGTGCGGCGGTTGCAGCTGGGGTCGTTCCGGACGCGATTGGTTTCTTCTATGTGTTTCGCAACAAGTGGTTGTTCCTGTGTGCGTAGTTCTATGGGTTTCCTGAAGCTGTGGTTGCAGATCGCATTGTAGTGGCTGCATGAATGTTGCATGGGCTTTGTTTTGGGGAGGAAGCCGGAGCACGAAACCTTGCGTTTTTCCGTGTAAAGTGGCTGCAGCTGGCGATGAAAGGTACCTCGTCTGTGCGGCGGTTGCGGCTGGGGTCGTTCCGGACGCGATTGGTTCCTTCTATGTGTTTTGCAACAAGTGGTTGTTCCTGCGTGCGTAGTTCTATGCGTTTCTTGAAGCTGTGGTTGCTGATCGCATTGGCATGGCTGCATGAATGTTGCATGGGCTATGTATTGGAGTGGCTGCATCCAGGCTGCGATAGTGATTTGTCAGCAGATTATCGCATTTTTGCCGTTTTTAATTTGCCCTCTAAAAATCCTTTTAAAAAGTGCTTCAAAATTTTTTTTTTTGGCTTTGGCGTCGAGATCCGGTTTTGGAGCTGCTATTGCTGACGCTGCTGCGCGTAGTTCTATTGTGTTTTGCAACTCAGTTTCTGCAGATCGCATTGTAATGGCTGCGTCAAGGTTGCTTTGTGCCGCGGCTGCCTACGTAATACTATTGTCTTGTGCAGTTGAAGATTGTAAATCGTATTGGAGTGGCTGCATCCAGGCTGCGACAGTGATTTGTCAGCAGATTTTCGCATTTTTGGTCCTTTTAATTTTCCTTTTAAAAAACTCTTTTTAAAAAGTGCTTCAAAACCCACTTTTTCCCCACCTGCCAGGTGAGGGTTGTTAGATTTTATCAGAGCTGTTCTCCTCCTCCTCCTCCTCCGCCTCCGCCTCTGCCTCCTCCTCCTCCTCCGCCTCCTCCTCGCAGTCCAGATCCCAGTGGGCACAGCCGGACCTCCACCGCGAGCTCCAGATCCCAGTGGGCACTGCCGGACCTCAACCGCGAGTTGCAGATCGCAGTGGGCACTGCCGGACCTCAACCGCGACTTCCAGGTCGCAGTGGGCACTGCCGGACCTCAACCGCGACTTCCAGATCGCAGTGGGCACTGCCGGACCTCAACCGCGACTTCCAGATCGCAGTGGGCACTGCTGGACCTCAACCGCGACTTCCAGATCGCAGTGGGCACTGCCGGACCTCAACCGCGACTTCCAGATCGCAGTGGGCACTGCCGGACCTCAACGGGAAGAAAAGATGTCAGATAGAATGTCAGAAGATATGCCAGATAGAATGCCAGAAAGAATGTCAGAAAGAATGTCAGAAGATATGCCAGACAGAATGTCAGAAGATATGCCAGAAAGAATATCAGAAGATATGTCAGATAGAATGTCAGAAGATATGCCAGATAGAATGCCAGAAAAAGTCAGAAGATATGCCAGATAAAATGTCAGATAGAATGCCAGATAGAATGCCAGAAGATATGTCAGATAGAATGCCAGAAGATTTGCCAGTAAGAAAATGTATAAATGTCATGGTGGGGATCATTCGAAGTGAAGTAATTTTCGCTTTGGCGTCGAGATCCATCCGGTTTTGGAGGTGCAATTTCCGATACTGTTGCGCGTAGTTCTATTGTGATTTGCAACTCAGTTTCTGCAGATCGCATTGTAATGGCTGCGTCAAGGTTGCTCGGTGCCGCGGCTACATGCGTAATACTATTGTCTTTTGCAACTGAACATCATAAATCGTATTGGGGTGGCTGCATCCTTTGTAGTAGTACTGGGAAGTGATTCATGAAAGCTTAGATGACATATGAGAAGAGATGAGATGAGAAGAGCTGAGCTGGGATAAGGTGAGAAGAGCTCAGATGAGATGAAGTGTGGGGTGTGAAGAGTGCAGTGTGAAGTGTGGGGCGTGAAGAGTGCAGTGTGAAGTGTGAAGTTTGGAGTGTGAAGGAAGCAGTGAGAAGTGAGAAGTGTGAAGTGTGGACTGTGAAGTGTGGACTGTGAAGTGTGAAGTTTGGAGTGCGAAGAGTGCAGTGTGAAGTGTGGACTGTGAAGTGTGGAGTGTGAAGTGTGAAGTGTGGAGTCTTAAGAGTACAGTGTGAAGTGAAGTGTTGACTGCGAAGGGTGCAGTATGAAGAGTGCAGTGTGAAGAGTGCAGTGCGAAGTGTGTAGTGTGGAGTGTGAAGACTGTCAAGTGTGAAGTGTGAAGTGGAGCTTGAAATGTGACATGTGAAACAAGACACCAGTTTCGCAGAGTGCACGCACGCGCGGGCTTGGCTGGCGCACGGCGCATGCAAGTTCTATAGATGAGAAAGGTCTTATATATATATATATATCTTTAAGGCAACTTCCGCCCCGCCTCGTGCGGGTACTACTGGTTGTATATGTTATAGTATGTTATAGCTATGCTATAAACATGTATAGACTACAAAGCTTAGACTACACAAGTAGTAAAACTATGGTAGTTGGGAACCCCGTCACACCCACGGCAAAGGAGACACAGGACCCACGCCCGCACCCAATGCCTTCAAGAATGAGCACACATTGGCATCCTCAGCAGACTGGAAAGTGAACATCGTGTGAACATCGTGCGAACATCGTTCACATAATTCGCATCGCTGGCATCTGTTCATTGACATGATTCGCGTGGTGTGTTGAACTGCTGAAACATTAGCTCTGTGCCTTGTCAGCTTCGCGATCCCAAAGTACTGAGACGTTGATCTGCTCAGCCTCCAGAATTGCAGTGTAGAGTTCAGCTGTAGATGTTTCAGATGTTTCAGCTTTTCGCTTCGCTTCACAGCGCTCTGATTTGTTCCATTTTTCTTGAGGGCACCTCCCTGGAGACGGTGCAGCTCACCCCTTTCGATTCCAGCTCCAAGGGGCCAGGGTCCGTGTGGCCTCGTTTTGGATCGTCGAGTCTGCCCTATGTTGGTTGCCCTCCCGGCTCCGCCGGGGCCGCTGCCGGCCGAGCTCTCCGGATCCAGGATACCTCGGACAAAAGAAGCGAAAGACATTTGGACATCCATTTGGTATGCCATTTATGCCATTTGGTCATATCTGCTCTAAACGATACGAATATGACATGGGTTACAGTAAAAGTATGAATGACCCTGATATCCAGTGTTAGCGAAGATATGCAGGTAGACAATGCAGTGCAGTGAAAATGCCAGTGAACGCGAAGCAAACCAGCGATAGCGCAAGCTGCAACAGTTTTGCAACCTGTGCCAAACAGTGATATCAGCAAAGTGATGGGAGGAAATCACACCTACATGTACAAGCTCTACATGTGCGAGAAAATTCATCTATTACTTGGGTTAGACAATTAGCAACTCATCTCAATGAATCCAAATGGTCTAAAATGATTCTAACATAACAATATTCTAAATGTGTCTAAATGTCACAAGACAGGCTCCACAGAGATCTGAATTTCAGTCGCCAAGATACTCCAAGCTTCTTGGAAGGCAGCTGGTGAAACCATGCATTGATGGCTAAAGCGAACTCTGTGCGCCTGCAAAAGAAAAAACACCAGCTGTTCAAGGGCCTACTGAGCCTACTTATTTGCCCCGTTTTTTATTCATCGTGGACCCATCTTGACCTCTTCATCCTTTCATTCTTTTCCGGTCGCTCGCCTTGAGGCCGCACTGCTCCAGACCCTCTTCTGAGCGAGGGTGAAGCTCGAACACGTCTCCTGAGCACTGAGCACCAACAGTGAGCTGAATGCCAAGATAATCCAAGAATCTAATCCAAGAATCGGCAAGGTCCTTGAACCCATCTCGACATACAAATGTCTCCAAATGCTCTCATCTTCCAATGTTTTTTGCCCCACCCACTAGGAAATTCTCCAAGGTTCTACCACGTTTTCTTAGCAATCCAGAGAAGGTGGCTGCGAAAGGTGTTGCTCCGTGCATGGCTGGCAAAGAACCAAGCACCTGAGCGACTGACAGTGTAAACCTGAGAGGTTACGAACGGGTCACAGATCAAAAAGAGAACGATTCCATACGATTCCTTTGCAATTATCCGAATGAGAAAACTCACAAGCTCTTGTCGGTTCAGGGATGATTTCCTTCTCTGGCGATAAACTGCATCGAGCCAACATTACAAAACTAAAACATATATCAACCTACATCAACATACATCATCACTGTACAACTATTTGATCTATGAGACTGATTCATCAGACATCGTCTTCCCAAGCGAATGAGGATCAAAATGAGGAAATTATAGCAACGGCCCTGCCGTGGCATTCCCTGCCATCGCTCTCCCTGAGCCCTGCCATTTCTGCATTCGAGGTGCTGGTGGGGGCGGCACCACCTCTCCGTTCAGGAGCAGTGCAGTGCTGGCAGAAGCCTGGTGCGGAACACGTCAGAACACATCGTGGCACTTGGTCCGTGCTGCTTTGGTATGCTTTGGTCTCGTTTATTTGGAAACTCCCCCTGAAAATGACAGAAAGATAGAGAGAAAAGTAGAGAAAAGTAGAGAAAGGTGATAAAGATGATAAAGATGATAAAGGAATAATATGATACATTATAATATATATATATATATACATAATAATTATTATATGAAATCATGTGAAAGGCTTAAATCTCAGCCTGCACTGCTGGTGGAGCCGTGAGTTCCACTGTTTCTCCAACGGAAGGGCTAAAGCCTTGAAAAACGCGAATTCATCGAATTCGGATTCCAGTAGGAAGTGGCGAAAAGTGGCGAATGCCGCTGTTTCAAGTTTACAGGGACATACAGGGACAGAGTTCATCTCAATTCTGCGGATGTGAGACATCAAGGCAAAACGCACCCGAGCGCAGCACATGGCACTCGCAAGCGCTTCTTCACAATGGGTTGAAAGGTCTTCATGAGGGATTCCGCTCCGTGCACCAGAACAACCTGCGGCAGCAATGGATGTTGCGGATAAGGTCGGCTGCATATCTATTTGATGCCACGTCAATCCACGTCATGTCATGCCACGCATCCAACGTTTTGACATCGTTTTGGCGGACTTAGTGGACGCCTGCTGCGGCGAGACTTGAGAAATCAACTCCAAGATGCCACGGGAATCCGTGTGATCCGAATGCACCACGGTCTCCACCTGAAACTGCACCAGGAAAACATCAGAAAACTGACCCGGTATGACCCGGTCAGTTCATGTCAGTTCCATACTCCTGGAAATTTGACACGCAAGTTTGCCATGCTACTCGAAGCTTCCACTACAAAGCGTGTGCAAGGCAACATTAGTGCAACTAAAATCCTCACTGGCCTATGATACCCCGCAGCCATGCTCATAAGAGCCCACTGGAATTCTTTGCAATGTTCCTTTCATTTTCTTTCATTTCCTTTCTAACACCTCACCGGACCTCACCTCACACTTCACGTGCACCACTTCATCTTTGAGCTGAATCTTCTTGCTCTTGGCCTCCAAAGACACAACTCATAACGCCCAGAAATTGTACCCAAACCAAGAGCATTGAACACAGCACACAGGTGCACAGGTGCATTACATAGATTGCACGTCGATGCACTTTTGATCTTTTTGATCTTTTTGTCTCTTTGGGTCGGGTCATGAGTGCCTGCACGAGATTGCCTACAGTACCAGGGAGGCAGTAGCCAGGGATGACCTCGGCTGCCCACAGAAAAGGCACTGAAAAGACAATGTGTCAAAATGTGCCAAGGGATTATCATTTCAGCAGCTGGCCATCGACATTTTGCGGCGCAGCGTAGATGCCACATGGAACATGGATCATATGGTCAAGGCATGTCGAATGTCAAGGCATTCAGGGCTCCGTGCCACAAGGTTTTTGCTTTCCGGAGCCATGGACTTGAAGATTTGCAACGAGGCTCCTGCAAAAGAGAGGTGTCAAGGCCCTGACACATCTCACATACTACACGAGACATCCCCTACCCGGCCCTACCCCATCACCATGTGCACTATATCATCGGACTATCATCCTTTTTGATCGGTTTTGAGGAGTTTCCATTGTGTCTGTCCCTGCCTCCCTCCATCATAGCAGGTCCGGCCAACATCACGGCTGGCTTTGTCCTTAGCAACTCGGATGGCCAACAACTGAAAATAACATTCATGAATTGATAACAAGACCGTTGGATACCGCTTCATCAGAGTAGAAGATGAAACTTTGAATTTAGTCAAGCTGCATGTTGGTGACAATCAGCTCAAATGATATGAATGTAAGGTATGAGTCGGTACTCGGTATGACTGCCACAGTCTGCAGTGAAGACTCACGAACTCACACTGTGACTGAGGCCGTTTCCATCCCAGAATCTCATCCAAATCCACAAATCGAACATGGGGAAATTCAAAGGGTTTCTCGGATGCGCGTACCTTGAATTTCCACTTTTTCATCGGACAGTGTCGGTGCCACTAGTGCCGCTCACAGCAAGTGTTGATCGACAGTATAATCTCAGCCCTTTCTCGCCTTCTGGCTACCCCAAGATGCAAAGAGCTGAAAAAGAACTCGCGCCTGGACCCAATGGAGCTGAAATGCAGCCGACTCAAAGGATTTCAAATGGGCAAATGAAGGCTGAATGCAACTGGCGATGACCTTCTGCGCAGATCCCTTTATCACCTAGGCTCAGACAAAGCAAGGTCTCAAGGAATAAATTGCAACGAGAGATTATAAATAAATGAATAACATTGAATAACAAATGATATCGTGAAAATCCTTGCAATACATTTTCCAAATTGACCATCACCAAATCCTTTCTAAATCGGTTGCCAAATCCTCTGAACCAGTCAAACCAGCGCACCTGTACCTCCTAAAATCGCTTCACCCTTTTCACAGCTGCCCATCTGATTCGAAATTCTATCTGATTAGACCTAGCATTGAAAATATTAAAAATGGGCCGTCGAGTTGCAAAAATTGGATGGGCCAGAGATGTTCGAGACCAGTGCTCTTCCAGGATCATGCCTCAAAGCAGAAAACAGATTCAAAAAACGATATCTAGTGATTTAATGTATAGTTCACATGATCTCGAATGTACCTGCAGGTAAGATGTAAGATACATCCCAAAGTTCTGCTGAGGATTGCAACTGGAAATCAGCTGGGCAAAGAAATGCACAAAAGCCAAGTGAAGCAAGCGGCAAATTTCTTGGCTGCGGCCCATCATTAGCAGTGGCACAAGCACCTGGCATGTGGAAGCGTCAGGACGTCAGAACATCACTCAGCATATCGCAGAATACATCACCTGTTACATCCTATTACTATGTAGCTGATCATTGAGTAATTTGTCCAGACATGTCAAGAAATGTCCGAAGGTTATCTGTGTTCCAAAGCCGTGCGCTCAATGAAATCCGATCTCGGCTCAGCCTTGCCGCCCTTCTCCAAGCACTCTTGAACCTGCACAACTCAACTAACCTCCAACCAACCTCAACTACAAAGATTCTCCACTACTGTGTAAACACAACCAATGCCACAAAGTTCAGAAAGAAAACAACATCGTCTTTGAACAAAGGCACAGCAGACTGTAGCGACTTTGCCTTGTCTTGAGGTAAAATACAGGATTCAGGATAAAAAATTATGCGTCGACCAATGTTTGTCCCTGGGTACTTCCCCCCCACATCTATTCTCACTGCTTTTCTCCTTTCTTCGACAGAAAGCATTGGGGCATGTGACCGACCTTGCAGCAAAGTTCGTACTCCTTCATCCGCTTGGAACTTCTGACCGTGGTGCAACACCTGAGCTCCATGTGATCGTCAAACCCTTCTTGGCGGTATGATCATTGTGGTTGATTGGCAAACTAGACTTTCCTGCATGGTGCTATCATGGTGCTATCATGTGCTATCTGTGTTTCTCGAACAGACGGGCCTTTTCCTTTTCCGTCTTTTTCATGTTTGTTTCCCTCATTTTCCATAGGGAATTATATGGAATTATCGAATCGGTTCAACAATATCTGGGTTCCCCCGACGTCGTCTCTGTGATCATCACATCTGGTCTTAGTCCAAACGGTAGCCGGGCAGCGCTGAGGTGATGGTCCGGCCTCCGCAGCGGCTGGGATCATGTTGGCAAAAAGAACGGCTCGACTCTATGACTATGACTCGACTCATTTTGATTCATGTCATTCATGGCCATTTATTCTGACTCATATCATGAATCATACCATGATTCGTACCATGATTCATACCATGATTCACACTATATTTCATTTCTAATACATCAAGATAAGTTCACATCATCATCTCATCTCCATCATTTGATCAAAAGCCAACTGGTCTTCATTGCTCTTCGAAGAGTACCAATTTCCTAGACGGCCCATGCTCCCGCAAGTTGAATCTTGCTTACAAGAAGACTCCAAGACGCTCTGAGCAACTGGACACGGTAGTAAAGTCCCCGGTGTACAGCACACTTGACCTGGCTGAAGCTTTTCAATAGTTGCGCAATGATCTCAGATATCTCATAGAGCTCTGAGACTCTGAGATTGCAACCCACCCGCTTCGATTAAGAACATCACAGCCCCTAACCTTGGCTAGTCATGTGCAGTCTCTGCATCAAAGTGCAAGATTTTTAGACCGCCTTGATGCATCTGCACTCTGCACACTACATTAAAAAATTAACTCTTTACATCTCTTTACAACTTCAATATTTTTTCTGCACCACTTCCCGTTGAAGTTGAGTAACGGTCAGAAATATGAAGTTCGCACATGGCGGCTTTGGGATGTTTCAGGTTACGGAGAACAAATCTCAGTGGCTTACACGTGACCAGCGTAGTACGAGGTCACAGCAATCTGATCTCCCACATTGACACGCTCCTATGAACGCCCAAATCATCCGAATCTTGCAAATGAAGACTGAAGGGCATGCAACTCTCACAAGCCAGGTCAAATATCTTTTTCGCAACCCCTTGAAAAACTTGCAAAAAAAAGGAACTCTCCAAGGGAAGCTAAAAGCAAGATGCAAATGCATCACGTCGCAGTCAAAAGATTGCACATCTGTCAAAGTTGGAGATGTTCGTAGTTCATCGTCGATTCATCGTTGATTCATTCATCACAATACGTCGTTCGACCTGAAGCTGGAGGCATTGAGCCCTGGCGAAGCATGCATCGATCATCTCAGCAGTGTAGCGGGTCTCCTGAAACTGCTGAAACTGGAAGAAGTTTTGAACAGTTTTGGAAGTCGTCAAAAGTCAAAACGAAGGTGAAATCACCAGACTTGCTCCACTCCTCCCGGGCTCGATACCTGGACTTGGCACATCTTGGTAGTCTTGGCACTCAGAGTGACTCTGCAATTTCTTTGGCTTTGCTCTTTGTCTTCTCACATCCCCCAGCGGAAACATCTTGAAGCCACAAGTTAAGATAGTTACGAAAAAGTGGAAAGTGAAAAACAAACCCTCGGGACATGCAACTGGTCCTTGAAACCATGGAAACGATCGAAGCTTTCAAACATTTTCAAACAAACAAGCACTGCAAATTGGACTGACAAATCCTACACGTACAAGACATACAAGAACAAACTCTTGACCCATGGCACCTGATTTGCAAGTAGTCTTGGAGGATGATGGGCGCAATGGCACGGGTGGGATGCGTCATCAACAATGGCCTTGTGCCCACTTTGCAATCCAGTCAAGTGAGCAAGATGCGTTCAATATCTATCAACCATCGTTTCAGAGGTCGTTTCAATGAGCTCACGATGGAATCTGTAAATCATCTGTAAACTCTGCATGACGGCACTCTAAGCACTACGCCCGTGGTAGCCGAGCACCTCTGTCAAGTACGGCCTCATCTCACAGCTCGTGTGCTTTCAAAGAAACAAGGGATGGAAATGCGACGCCACGCAGTGCCACGCAGTGCCACGCGGTGCCACGCAGTGCCTGAGCGCTCCACAAAGCACCAGCATGGTCCTGGCCACGCCAGCAACTTCGAAGCAAATTGTGAGGCCAAATCGTTCCCTTGTCGTTCCCTTGTCATTCCCTTGAAAATCTTGAAAGCCACCAGGTGGAAGTGAGATAGAAGGACGAGGTCGAGCTTTTTCACATCCTCAGCAGTTTGGTATGAATCGTATATCGTCTGAAGTCACTTCCTATCTCAGCACTTGATAGCACTTGTCAAGACTCAGGCTGAAGAAGTAAAAATTGAGAATAGGCCAATGGTCGGTATGGATGAGTTAAATTGTACTGAAGCATACTGAACTGTCATTCATATCATGTTTCATCCATGTTAGCACCTTTTAGCACCCTGCAACTGAATTCAACTAAGCATCAATTCTCCCAAGCTCGGGATATCGACGATCTTCGGGCCTTGTTCAGAGACAGACACAGACAAAGGGACCGCAGAGGGACAGGGCTCAAAGCGAAATGACGAGATCTGACGAGATCTGACGAGCTGAAACGCTGCCAGGCAGCACAGCAACGGCAACTCCGCAGTCAAGGAGCACCCGACAACCTCGCAGCGAACGGTATGCGAACGGTTTGCGAACGAAAGCATCAATGATAAATCAAGATGAATCAAGTTTGTTCAGCGTGCTTCAGCAGGTTTGAGACTATTTCTGTTTAAACGTAGATTATTTTCTCATTGAACCATATGAACCATGTTAAGCCACGATTTTATGTGACCGTTTGAGGCTTCCTGATTCCAAAAAGCAACGGCGACTAGCATTGGGAAACTGCTTGCAAGAATGGTGGTACAATCTGCAAGAAGGAGAGTATAGGAGAGTTGGTATTTAGCCTGCAAGCGCATCTGAGCAATTGGCCAGCGATTTCGAGCAAAATACAGCTTCGACCTTTGCCGCAGCATGAAATCTCGACTAGGTTGAACATGGTAGAGCCAGATTCAACATGATTCAACATGATTCAACTTATTTCTCCAATATTTCCCCTCTTCCCAGCTACTAAGTTTCCCTCCCACGTGCTGTCCGGCGCCCAAAGGCGTCACGCGCAGCATGTTTGGCTCCTCTCAGACCAAGCGTCAAAGAATCACAGAATCTGCTTGATTTGAAAAATGTGCAAATCCTCAGCGCGGATTCTCCTTGTACTCTTAGAGCGCAATGTTGCATTGCTCTGCATATTCTGCTAGGCGCTTTTCAGCTGTCACAGCTGTCACACCTGCTAAGAGGTGTCGATACTTCTAAGGTTGGCTGAATAGCCTTTTGCCGGGGTGAAGCCACAGCAAAGATTTTTGATGGCATGCTTGCAGCAGACTTCCACATGCAGCAATCTCGACAAATCGACAAAACTAAGCTGTGTAACGGCCGGCGGACAGCTGATATAAAGTATCTGCAAGTCGACTTTGGAAAACTGGGCACTGTCATGTGTTTTCTATCTTCCCGCCACATGTGCAAAAGAAACAGCAGCTCAATGGCAAAGCAGCAGAAGCAGCCAATCTGCTGAAGCTTTTTCCAACTTTGAAACGCATTCGCGACTTAACTCTGTGCACTGACACCTCATGAGGCAACTCTGGGATCAACTCTCCCATGGATTGCACGGAAGGCCAGCGAAAAGGCAGGAGCATTCTAGACATGTCCAAGGAATCCGTGACATATCCACTATCCACGAAGGCTCCAAATCTCATTGACAAATATTTTTTCCTGATAGTCAAATAATGTACAAAATGTTTGACCTTTAACAGTGTATCTATCACACGTGAACCAAACGAAAGAAACACAAATCAATGTGCAAAACGTTCGCGCTCGTTTTAGCATCTACAACGCAACTCAAAGCATAAAAAAAAGCATTTGGAACTGAAGCTTCTGCGGGGGCCTCTGCCGGGTAGCTTTGCTGGCCCGGGGAAAGCTGTTTTGGGCACTTGCTGTGTGATCCAATGATTCCAACATCATAGTCGTCACTTAGTTCCAGCTCAGCTCATCCTGGTAGGTATCTATTAGAAACATTTAGAAACTATCAGATCTATTCAGATCTCACATATATATATATATTCAAACATTAGGATGCGATAAGATGGTGAAGAACCAAAGCATTGCTATCACCGTGAAAGACATTCTCGACACCGCAAGTGCAAGCGCGTATCAAATATATCCAGCCCACGCCAACCATCTACGGCTTCAGCTTAAAGCGAACCGTGTGAAACGTCAACGGACTGTGGTTGCGTGGCCATCTGCTCAGCATATGATCTCCTCTGAGTCTGTTGTTTTTGACTATTAGACGTTGCATGTATGAAACCTGGCAGGCGACACCATGGATATTGTGGTTGATTCGGCTGGGGGATCATCGAAAGAATGCTCACTGACCCAAATGTATCCATTGTTTCTTGATGTTTCTTGTACTTGTCTTGTTATTCTTATTGACCATAGGAGAAACAAGGTACAAGCCAGCTGATTTTGCATTTGCCTGGTGGTATTCCCCTCAAGAACAAGATGCAGGGAGATGAAAGAAGACGTGCATGCCGTGCATGTCTTGAATTTGCGTAGAAAAAATCTTAGAAATTATGGACATATGTGACATATGTGACATATGTGCAAAAAATCGTAGTAAATTTATCCGGACTGCCATCTGAATCACCCAATCTGAGCTCAGCCCCGTTGCGTTTACGGGCACACCGTCAGAGGCCAGCGATTGCAGCTCCTCGAAACGGCGGAGCCTTGACAAGTGGAACTCCGGGCAAAAATAATAAGATAATCTAAAATAAATAAAATACATAGAGTATACAGTATATCAAATTTAAGATAAATTAAGTATCACTAAGTCTTCATTCAGTCTGCATTAAGCATCATTGAGATTGAAATCAAGAGATAATTACTTGAGCCCCAAGATCCCCAAGGGAGCGAAGCAAGGGTAAGGTGGGAGTATATGGAAAAGCCATGGGAGTGGGTACTGCGAAGCGAAATGTAGGAACATGGGGGGGATGGATGGGAATGGTTTAGTTATTTTAGTTGGGGGTGGGATGGGGTGGGGTAGGTTGGAGTTGGGTAGACTTCCCTTAAAGGAGTGAGTAAGGTGGTTTCAAAGCATCCCTCGCCAAAGCAACAAGCAACTCCAGCTAGCTACAGTCTGCATCTGCAGTATCCAAATGATCCAATTTGAATTCCTCGATGTGAAAAGGCGGTTTCTTGGTCTCACTTTCTCGTGCCATCTGAAGGAAAATCCGAAGCATCCGAAGCATACCCTGTTGACGCAGCTCTCCGGGTCCTGCTGCATTCACAGCTCGACTGGGCCTGGAGTATGCCAGGAACATTTTACACGGAAACATAGAAAGGCGATAAAAAGATATAAAAAGGATAAGTCATGAAAAGTCAGGTTTTCAACGTTTCAACTTTCAACACTGTTTCATGCCATGCAATGCATCTAGTTGACTGCAGTCGCACTAGTGAGAAGCTTCAGGCGCCTCCCAAATGGCGGAGCTTGCTCCAAGTATGGGCTGCCTGGTGCACTGCAAACTGGTCCCGGTTGAAAGATGTTGAAAGACTGTCAAACGAGACTTTGATAGAGCATGCACTTGTATGCACTCGTTCCAACCTCTTGAAATCAAATCATCAAATCGGATGTTCCAAAATTTGTGACACCAATAGCTTTTTTGGGTGGCTTTGATCTTGATCAAACTCTGGTCGATGCTGTGCATTGCACCTACGATCGGTGATGGCTCTCGGTGCCGCCGGGGCGAGGCCTCACGACTGCCTGTGGCCGTTGAGAGGCCACGTTTGCATGTTTTCAACTGACGTGATACCGTGCTTTGTCCGGATCCGGATGTTCGTCTGGGATCCACAGATTCTTCGGATGTGACTCTGATCATGCCATGGAACCCTCAAACACGTCCAACAAAACTCCACCTTCGTGCAACTTGATAGACTTGTACAGTAGCGACGTCAACAAAATTGCCAGGTGCAGCGCTGGATTGCCCGCGCACCTGCACGATGCCATGGCGAAGGCTCTCGCCTCAGTGAAGCTCGCAGTGAAGGAGCGTTCCGTGTTCACCGTCACTAGCCAGCCCTTGTCCTCTGACGACATGTTGCCTGTCATCCTTCATGTCCAAGTCTATAGGTAGGCTCTTGGATATCTGCGATGTTGGTTCCCTTGTCTTCCTATGTTCTTCTGACATGCTCTTTTCCCTGTTTCATCTGTTTCGTGTTTGACACTCAGGCTTTGACAGCCCTAAGCCGGCAAAGTCTCGTGCTCGCCCAACGGACCTCTTCCACTTGGATGTGGGACATATGGTACTTGTATCTTGCCGTATGACTCAGCTTCAACTGCTTCAACTTCCCAACACATCCCAACACATCTGAAATTGACCAAGGAGATCTGCTGCTGATCTGCTGCTGATCTGCTGATTTTCTTTGGCTTCAAATTTGAAACATTGCCCGATCTCACCAGTGTCACCGATGTGTCAATCTCGGCTTCAAACGGACTCCGTTGCCGGCGGGGGCTCATTTGACGCATTGGGCTCCTCTGACGCATCGGTGGCACCTGCGAAAATGCTGATGCCGAAGTGGAAACTGCAGAGTTTCCTCTCGAAAGCTTGGGATCACATCCTGCTTATAGTCCTCGTTGGGATTTCACCATTTCACAACATTTCACAACCACATTAAAATATGGATCATGATTATTCATCACATTAAATCACATTAAATCACATTTTTGTAGAAAACGTCTGTCCAGTGTTCCCACGTTACGCCCTGGGATAACTACTTGCGGTGGCGGTGCCGAAGGAGCCGGAGATGACCTGACGGTCGACATGGACCCGACTTGGTCCAAGTTGGAGGATCGAAATGGATCGAATCGAGAATGAAACAAGTGGAACAAGTGGAAGGTTGAATGAAAGTTGAATGAAGCAGAATGAAGCAGATTTAGATCTGTAATGATTCGAAATGATTCGAAATGTGGCTTTGGTGGACTGAAGAAGTGGTACTTGCGGTACTTCCCTTCGATGTTGGAACCCAGCTGCAACCCGGAATGATGGCGATGTGACAGCTGCACTTCAAGCTTCGATCGGCAGAAACTGCAGACGCCTGCGTGGCCTCACTTGTATCGCTTGTGTGGCACGAGCAATCCACGTGCCAGGCCTCGATAGGGGAACTTTCAGCAATTTCTTGCAGACATGATATAATTGCTACATTTTGCTACAGCTGGTGAGCTCGAAACGATGACAAGATGAACGCTTCAATCGTTCACATTGCTTACAGCGTGGGAAAATAATTGATCAATTCCAGCTTTGACTGTGGGAATCACGTTTTGATTTTCGGTTCATTTGTTTCTCCCTCCGCTGCAGGTCTTGGGCTTCCCAACTTCAAGTCGATCACGATCCGCCCTAGATCCAGGTCCACATTTTACATATGTCACTTCGATTGGACATCAGGTGGAAAACGATGGCAAGTGCCGGGCTCAAAATCCAACCCAAAACCACAAAACCAATCCAATTGGAAGTGCTTAAAAATCTCAAAATCTCTTAAAATCAACAAGGGCAATGGATTTACATATTTTACATGGATTTACTGCAACTCCAACTTTGACACAGAAACTCCGAGATCCACAAACTTCGGATGAGTTTTATTCGGATGGACCGGTGACCCGGTGACCCGGTGACCCCTGAGTTGGACGACCGTCTTGGTCAGCGTCGATAATCTGAGCAGGAAGCCATTCCTCGGAACGGCAAAAAATTTGACCCTGAACCGTCGCAGGAAACCCATCACATCCATGGCCGGATCACGGCCCATGTCCAGTGGATGATTTATGATAGCATAAAGATGCAGAAAGTGTTCTAAGTGTCCTTTGGTTCAATGATTTGGTATGAGTCAATGATTTTTCAATGATTATACCGTGGACAAACTGGAGGTCTCGCATGAACCCCTTTGTCACCAAGCAGCTTTGTGGGTGCTCGAATGGTATTCAATGAGGTCCCCTTTCCTTGGCACCAGAATATGCCAAGGACGGAGAGTCTTGTAGAGGGAGAGCAGGGTGGAACCAACAATAGAGACAAACTGACAAAATGAGACCAATTGCAGGGCAGAACATGTCACCAGTCACTCTTCGTTATTTTCCACCCGCATCTTGGAACATACTAAGATATACTAAGCAAGTGACCGATAGCTTCCAGCAAACTCTGCCTGGCCAAAAAGCTGTCAACAAAACGAAGAAATTGCTCGGGCCAAAGCAGTATCACTTCTGTGAAGTAAATTCCAAGGATACCTTCACGTTCACAGCTCATTCAACCTTACTGATCAGTCTTCCTACTGAAACGCAATCGTGCAGAGAATAAATCGCCAGCTGCGCGTAAGGGCCAGAAACCTTGGATGCATTGAGTACTCAGCTGTGACAGGCCTAATAAGCCGACTGAAGCTATGGCAGAACTTTCCAATTTTCAGAGCAGGTTCTTGTTACGGCCAAATTGCTTGCTTCATGTTTCAATCGCAAACTCCACAACTTGCTTATTCTGACCATCAGAGAAAGGGGTCAAGGCCAATATGTGATTCTTTAGTTAGAGCATTCAAGCTGTACGAGTACTCTACATGATCGCTGAAGTGCAATATCAGTGTCATAAAGGAACATGCACACATACTGACGTTCTTACAGTCTTTAATATTGATAATATCAATACATGTCAATATAGATGTCAATATCTTCACTTTACTGACGTTCTTTGTCGTTGAATGTCTTTACTCTTTTTGGCACCAAGGTCGGCCCAGGAGCAGATGGAACCACTGGTGGTGGTGGAGGGGGAAGTGTTGCTTCCTGCCTTCACTTTGCAGCTTGTGATCTCCACTGAAAGCTTCTTCGACTTACGCCCAAACTAACAAGGATGTGAAAAGGATGTGAACAGAAAATGCTAAATATGCTAACAGCCAAGAGCTCCACTTGGTTCCCAAGCCTTTGCGAATCGCTGCCAGTGCGATCGCGGCCTGCAAAGTGCTTCAAGGTGGTATCCTCCAAAGTCCAGTGGAGCACGCCGCGCCTTCCTGAGCTGCCTGCGCCTGAAGAATGCGCATGCGCTTGTGGACTTTAATCAAACTTTAATCACCTTTAATCTGTTCTTGCACAGTGCTAGTATTGACAGTTTCAAGTCTTGCCTCCTCCAGCATATGTTTGACCTCAACAGTTCCGATTTGCAGTTGGGACCACGTTGGGAAAAGTTTTCAGTTTATGCAAAGCAGGACAGTTCTGATGAGTTTCATGTTAGCGTTCTGTTCTTGTGATGCTGCAAGAGATCGCTGAAAGATTGAAAAGTGAAAAGTGAAGCCACAAGAGAGAAAACATGTCAACAAAAAGTGCATTGCAATATGTCGGGTTTGCCTCGCAGGTTTGCCCAGAGTTCACAGTTGTTTTGACGGTAAATGAGAATTGAAGCTTGTGTCTCTGTATCTGCAGCCGTTTGTAGAACCTTTTCTTGCTGCTTTTTGCAGTGCTTTCAGTGTTTTCATTCCTTCAATCCTATTGAGTCATACTGTGACTTATCTTTGATTTGGGTTTCCATAGTAGAGGTAAGCGTTTCGTGAAGAGACATGTTTTCGCCAGATTTGGCGGATAAACATATTGTTGAATGTTTTAATTGTGTGAGAATGTCTCCCGGTTCTTCAGTGCAACAGCACATCTTTGGATCCGGTCAGCGTTGAGCTTCCATGCTGTGTTCGAATGCTTGGTTCTTCTTGCTTGCCGTATGAGTGGCAAGCTGAATGTCTTAGTGTAGGAACATTGTGAATCTTTGGCCAGAGAAGAGATCCATGCGACCATGCGAAGAGCCGATAAGTTGCGTAAGGCGGGTGCTAATCTTCAAGGAAGTCATACCGATCACCCGGGGCTCGACAATGTGGCAACGGCATTTCGAAAGTACCGCAAATCTATTGAAGACAGAATCGCACCGGCGCATGACAAAGACACGTCATGGCTGACTCCGGGCTCCAGCTGAGAAGAAAACAAAAAAACCGAGAACCATCAGACGTGACCTGACAAAATGTCTACATGAAGTGCAAACAAAAGGACGTTATCAGAACCCCCCCCCCCGACGGCCCCACCTTTCACCCCCCCCACTCCCCAAAACACCAACCCCACCAACACTCCCGCCCCAACAAGTGGTCGGAAGTTCAGGAACATTGTCTGGTTCCGGGCAAACCCCTATGCTTGACCCAATATGGTGTAACATATTTTTATGAATCATTGTGCACACATTTTGTATTTCGAAATGCAACATTTGATTGCAGCCAGTTTTTACCAGTGCGTCTTGGCCTCGTTCTGCTCATCTCAGCTCTTGGCCATTGCCTGCATGGGAGGCCTCTGAAGAATGGACTCCGCCTTGAAACTCACAAATAGCATCAAATATCATCAAATAGTAACATGCTATTTTTCACAAACGCATTGGAAAACACCTTCAAAAAACGGTGAATGACTTGTTGAATGACTCGAAGATTGTGACTCTCCCGACTGCATCCGAGGTTCGCTGGGTCGTTGTGATTGATTCCTGGCAGCTCGCAGTCCCACTGTGGAACTATCCAGTGAAGGCGATGAATTCCCAACCCTTTCACGGTGTATTATTTCAGGTGAGCCATTTTGATGAAAACTAAAAATGAATAGTACATGACGTGATAACATTTGTGTTATACACAATGTATAATCTATATATATATATATACATAATATGTATATTTATGATGCAGCGTCACATGCAAAGCCTAGCATGCTGTCCTGTGCAACATTTCAGTACAAAGTTGGCGGAGGAAGTCCGAATATGCTGTTGGCAAGCTGGGCGTCGGCCCGCGGCAAATCCTGCACATGGCAGTGTTCCAGGTTTCCAAGGTCGTTTTTGTTCACCAATCCGAGGTGGATCAAGGCGGGTTTGCAATACCAAGCTGCCAGATGCTGCCATGGGTCTTCTCTATTCGTAACATTTCATACCGATATGGTCTGTTGCTGCGACTTTTCGCAGCTTCGCCTCTGTACCAAGGTTGAAATGTTCGGCGCATCAAAAGGCACCTGCCAAAGCAGCGAGGCAGGTTGAAGCTGATCCGTGGATCAAAGGTGGAAACAGGATGGGAAAAACCTTGGTGGTGGATAAATAGAAATAGAAAGTGTGGAAATTGTGTGCACGGGTTTAACAGAAATTGTGTCGAAGGCTTCCAACAAATCCAAGGACAACTCGACGATGGCTCCCTGCCACGGTGCCGGAGCACCTTGAGCGCACAAAGCTCATATAAGATGCAGCCCATGGCCCAAATGTCTGAAGGCCAAGCGTAGGGCTTTTCTTGACAAACTTCTGGACTCAAATAATACGGTGTGCCAATCCTTGGCATAAAATTTGACTCCCACAGCTTCTTGTGGATAGAACATGATAGAACATGATACCATTCCAAAACCATTCCAGACATGACATCACAGCAGAAACTCAGACTAACTCGAGATGACTCATTTGCTAACGGGCAACCCTGTGCAACCACCGATGTTAGATCTTTAGTCTTTGAACCTCAGAACGACCTGTTTTTGAGCGGAGCCAAGTTTCTGGGTCCTTGCACACGCAAGGGTATTCGACAAGACCTCCCAGGCTGGAACTAATCTAGGTAACTCTCTTGCTGAGGAAAATTCGAAGAATATCCAAGAATGTTTTGTATGGTTTGATGATGTTTGATGTTAGGAATGCATTGGGGTGTTTGGTTTCTGCCATGTGTTGCTACGTTTTGTTCTGTTTTGTGTTTGCTTTGTCATTCACCATAAATAGATTTTGCTTCGTGCATTCATTGGTCTATCCCATTTCGGATAGATACCATGCAAGACATGGGGCTGACTGTCCAATGTGTCCACCAGCCTTAGCAATTCCAAAGTCGCCCATCTTCAGATTGCCACTTCTGCAAATGAAGAAGTTCCCAGATTTCAAGTCACGGTGTAAAACATGTCTTTCCTGGCACAGGATGGACTGGAACTTACTGGAACGTCGAATTGACTGGGAAAACATGGGAAGGTGTTTCAGGTGTCGCAAAACACCGCAAAAAAACAGAAGGCACAGCTGCACCGATAGACTTTGGCAGAAATTCGACTGTGTCAGAACTCCCCCAAGAGTGATTCAGTAAGCTGTAACAGTTTAGATCAGTTTAACCAAACTGCGCTGTAATGTGCTCTGTGTCCGAGGGGCATGAATATATTTGAGAGCTAGAAGGGCTTGAGTGATCCAGCGCAAAACTTGCTCTTCGGGCAGACGCTGGCCTCTCCTGTCATCAGATGTCCAGCAAATGCTGGCTTTTCAGCGTGCAGTTGACATCCAACCCTTCAGGTTGAACCCAACTTATATAGAATATTAGACATCTTACACATGTCTATATCATGTAAAAATGCAATATGTGTATATATTTGTATATCTATATTGTATTATACTGAATATAATTTCTATCATTATCATCTTCATGTTAAGTGTTTTGTACGTGCCGTGCAATCAGAGCTCTATGCCTGGCTCGTACTCCAGGCCTCTTGGCAGACTCGATAACTTTCGAGAGATCTCCACCCTCACAGTAGTCCATGAAGATGCACAGCCAGCCATGTTCATGCAAGTTGTGTCGATAGCGCACGATGTAGGGATGCTTGAGGGCCTTGGGCAAGGACTTCATCACAAATCTTCACGCATTTTGTGGTGGACTCGTGGACCAAGACTGCAAAATGTCAATCAGATTCTGTTATATTTCTGTTTAGTGCTACAGCCCTCGTGCCAGTGCAGGAGTTGTTCCAGGGTGAGACAGCATCCCAAGTTCTGAAGTGATCAAATCCAGACTCAGCCGCGCGCAGCTAGAAGTCTGCTCTCTTTGAGTGCATCCTCAAAGTGGCTTTGAACTTGGTGTGGGGAGCTGCAAAATCTAATGCTTTTGGGTCATGTTTCCTTACCTGCTGTGCAGATCCGCAGCTTGGCTGAAACCAGGGTCTTCACTATGAAATAGGAATGCCATGGAAGGCCTACTTCACTAGTGCCGTCCGCAGATTCTGCAACCACTCAAAAGCATTCCACTTCCGTGATTTCGGCACAGAGTCCTTTCCATAAGGTCACCATAAATGGTTCATCCACCGTCACCTACGCCCTTCGTTTCCTGCGTTTCCTGCGCTTCCTGCGTTTCCGGTCCTGAGTCTCTTTCGATGAGGCAGCGCTGACATCCACCGCTTTACAGACCAACTTGGTGCCATCCTCTGCTTGTACCAGCAGGGCCTTGCCAAAGGAGCCTGGCCAGGCAGGTCAATGATACGGGACTGTGAACAAGAAATGACGAGAGTACGATAAACATTAATACGAGTCACAATACTTAAATATATACATATACACATATACACATATATACATATATACATATATACATATATACATATATACATATATATATATATACATATATACATATATACATATATACATATATACATATATACATATATACATATATACATATATACATATATACATATATACATATATACATATATATACATATAGCCATATATATATGTATATACTGTACTTGAGAGAAAATCCAGAACAAGCGTTTGCAAACGTTTGCAAACGAGAGGAATTTTGGATTCAGGATTCAAGATTCAAGCTCCTCTCGTTTGCAAACGTTTGCAAGCGCGTGTTCTGCAATTTCTCTTAAGTACAAAGTATATCCTGTCAGCCAAAGGTATGTTAGCTGGTATTTGAAGGTACATCACGGGTGTATTATATAGATGGTATTCGGCCCTCCAGCAAATTAACATAGACCCTGCCAAATAGGGGTTGGAGGATTAGTTTCCACTAAAAATTGGTGATTTTCAGGGTCTATAATAATTTACCAGAGGGTATATTGAAGGTATATTGAGGATGTTTTCAAAGTCAATAAAATTGTATATTGAAGACAAATTAAATGGCCAATAAAGGTATATCAAAGGTACACTAAAGGCACATTGCAAATAGTGCATTGCCACTAAAATGAAGGTATACTCAAGGTATCTTAAATGGTATTTTAAAGTTGTATTAAAGGTATATTACAGGTATATTCAAGGTATATTTAATATTAAATTGTATATTGATGGTATATGAAATTGTATCTTAAAGGTATATTACATGTATTTTGAACGGTATATTACAAGCATGGTAAAGGTATATTGAAGGTATATTACAGGTATATTCAAGATACAGTAATGTTATATCAATAGTATCTTAAGGTATACGAAATGGTATATGAAAGGTATATTAAATGCTATACTTACTAAAGGCATTAAAGGTATATTGAAGGTAAATTAAAGGTACAATACATGTATATTCAAGATACCAATGTTGTATTAAATGGTATGCTAAAGATCTTTTATTTTTCATGTAAGGTATCAGTTCAAGGTATATTCTATTAATGCTAAAGGTGTGAACAGCATATGAAATGGTACATATGAAATGATATGTTAATGGTATCTTAAATGGAATATATCTGGTATATGAAATGGAAGACTAAAGGTGTATCATATAATTTGTATATTAAATACATATTAAATTGTAAATGAAAAGTACTAAAGGTAAATCAGCGGTATATTAAAAATTGATCATGGCCAATAAATTGTTTCTTTACAGGTATACTAAAAATAGACTAAATGATATCAAAGCTGTATTCGACGTGTATTGGAAGTGTTAAATGGTATCTAAAATCTAAAACGTATATTAATGGTCGATTAAAGGTATATAGTAGTTTATTAAAGGTATTCTTTATATATATATATATTATGAAATATGGCTGATGAAAACACGATTCTTTTTCTGTTGCCGCTACTTCATCAAAAGGAAAATAAAATCATAAATGTAAAGTCACACACTATGGAAACCTGAAATTATAATTATATGATATTATACCAAAAAAACAACAAGAATGCGATAATATCAATACGAATCTGAAAAATTGCGTTTGGCCTCAACGGCGTGCCCATTTTGTACATGTTTGACTGTCAACCATCTGCAAAGCTCAGAATAGTATCCAAAAACATTGCAAATACCAGCGAAACCTAGCATCGTATCTACAGATATCATCTCCCACCTCATCAACCTGAAATGCGCATAACCTTTTAGTATATAAAAAGGCCTGAAATTCCAGAATCTCATGCATAGCCAAAAACAGCAAAAGCATTGTAAAAACCTGAAAAATGTTTTTAGCCACAGCGCCGTGGCCATTTTTTTTAAACGCCTGGACTTAACCATCTGCTAGGATCACAATACCGGCAAAGAATAGCCTTGTATCTACACATATCATCTCAAACATCATCACATTGAAGTGTCCAAAACTTGAAAATCACTTCGAAATCCAGTGTGTTTTTTTAAACTGTAAAATAAACAAAAAGACGTCGTAAATACTAGTAAACATGTTAAAATGGTAGGTTTTAGGGGTTAGCCTAATACACACTGTGAGTATGTGTTGTTGATCTGTTGATCAGCCAAAATCTGTGATTAATCTTGAGTTCTGAAAGCGACTGAGAGGGGCAAGCGGCCTTCGCCGATCTTTTTGATCTCTCCAAAGCCGTGCTTTTGCAAAATCGGCCCCAAGTCGCGGTGAGGAACCGGCATCTCATGGCATGGACGCGGGGCTGTCCTGGTTTTTCTTGCTGCAATGTGTTGCATTTCTATCATTTTCATGAATATCAATGAAAATTCAATGAATATGTTCACTTATTTTCTATATTGCCTTCATTTGCCTTCGTATTGCCTTCGTAGCGCATTGTGCTGGTGGTGCGCTGCCAAGACCTGGCCAAGACCAAGACTCTTTCGATTCGCTTTTGCTCTGGTTTTGGTTGTTTTTTGCTCGTTCTGGCTTTGGAAAACGAGCCACGGGTTTTGCTTGATCTTCTCTCTCAGTGGCTTAACATGTGTCTATCGGCTATGAACATTTTTCTTTTGCCCATGCATTTTGCTCACTTTAATTACAACTGTTGAGCCAGTGACGCAGTCAACGCCGTGTAAATGTCATGTTTATGTTTAAGGTAAAATTCCGACCAGTTGCAAACCGCCATCTCTAGCTCATGTCACCCAAGTTCCTCCTGTTCTGCTGAGACTTTATCTTTGATGTCTATGATTGTTTGCATTACATCTTGTCGCATGTTCACTCATATCACACAAATGTTCACTCATACAGGATATATAACTGTTCGTATAACTGGTCTTCGGCCCTTCGGCAATCCAAACACTATCAGCATCACTGCACTGTTCTTCCGTTGAAAGCTATCAGCTGCTCCGGTAGCGAAAAATGCGGATCTGCCAGCCATCTTTGACGGCACAGATGTCCAGCTCCCGACGTTCACAGCGGTGCACAGTGATGCAGACGTATTGAAACATTGAAATTTATTGAAGCTAGCAGCTGGAGCAACGAAAATAGGATACGGTACGTGCCATAGGCTGTGCTGGTAACTAGGCCAGCACCACTGACCATGTCTTCAGATTCGAATCCAGTTACAGCAGGCTCAACTGTGACAAGAGTTTGCGAGGATAGCAGGATTTGAAATCAGCTGTTTCCACACCACTTGTAAGCGCTCAGAAGGGTTGCTACCATGTCGCATTTGCGACTCACATTTGCTTCCAGATCCAACACACTCAGGTCACAGGTCCACGTGAGTACCAGAGAAATAGCAAACTTTTTGCAGGCTGTTCGATATCGTCATATGCTTTCATCATAAATAGCTTCATCATGCTTCATCATGTTCATTCAAGCTTGGACCGAACCGAAGTGCGAAGTGCCGAACTTCACGTCTCCAAGATATTCTGCTGAACTATAAACTCTTCAATGACCTGAGAAATCAGGATAATCATGGATAATCAGGATTCAAGGATCAAGATGATCAAGTGATCGGCTTGTCAGAAAATGTCAGAAATCCTTGAGAGAAGAACTTGTCTTGCACCAGGTACTCGGTTGAATGCCCAAATCCGCCGAAGTGTGTCCTCGCAAGTATCAAATTGCGCTGGCACTGGAATCGGCGACTCGTATCACGAGCATGGAGAACCAAAACAACAAACAGCAAAACACAAAGCACAACTTGCAATGGGCAAAGACTCAAATTGCAGGTGCAGTAGAAAGCGAGTGGGTCGCTGTCCTCCCCCTTGCCCAGAAGCTGCGTGCGAAGCTCATCTTTTAAGACCAGGAAATGTCCCACGCCTCCATATGCTAATTCTGGCTCATTCTCATTCAGTCACATTCATGCAAAGGACGATTACAAAACAAAGACTGCAGAGACCCACGTCTCACACGCCTGTGTCAAAGAATGAGAAGTTTCTGCTAAAAATAACATCGCTCAACTTACCAACAAGATAATCCTACCGGCCTACCTGCTACTGCCGAAAATCAGGTGAAACTCCCTTAGTAGTATCTAGATGTATCTAGTCATTCTAGTCACATATCCAACTTTGACAACGAGCTGAGCTATGCCTTCCAGATCCTTTCAGGACGTTCTCAGTCGCGCCTTTCCCAAAGTCCAAGCGGCTTTCCTCGATCCCAGCTACCTCGGATGACTCACCTGCAGGGTTGAGCAGTGAACAAATATGACGACTCGACTATAGTGCAAAATAATGAACATATATGACAATATTGGTGCAATCAGTCAATCATCGCAAATCAGCTGATGATTCGTGTTGAGCCTTTAGATCCTTTAGTCGAACGACAAACTCACCGACACTGCCTGTGAGAGGATTGGCCCAAGGTACCAAATCAGCATGCCCTTCCTGCTGGACGTCTGACAGCACAATCTGTTTGCGATGCTGCAGAGATCTGCAGAGATATTGTTATCATATGTTATATAACTGTTATCATGATTCCATAAATTTCCATAATATTCCATACAAAACGTGCAATTGCAGATGCCATGATCAACGTGGCATGCTCTTCTGTGCTCTGCCATGGCATGCTGTGAGCACTGCAATCCCATTACAATCACCGTCTCTGGTTTTGGTGAAGGTGGTGCGGCCTGAAGCTGCATCAACTGCGGGGTGGGAGCGAAGATCACCACGAAGGAACCTTCATCTCGATACTTTCAATGAGTTGATCACTGCTGCGTTGACCATTTGAGAATTGTTTCGTGATTTGTGGTTGTCTGTGTCGATACAATTGCTGATGATCAGCAAGGACTGAAGCAAACCTCAACAAAAACATGGGAAAACCGTGTGATCGACACAGATGCAAGCATTATATAGACATCATGGTGCAAGACAAGAGAAACAACACTACTGAAGTGGGGGGATGTATCCATGCCTTCTTGGTCACTCATACACAGAACCAGGAAGTCCTTAGCCAGTTGGTTTCAAATTCAAAGAATTTGCTCCTTGTGAGTTTGGTGACAATGGTGACATTCAAAAACATGAAATCTGACCCTGTCGAGTCGAGATGATTTTGATTCAAGATCTACAGAATTCCGCAGAGTTTCAAGATCTGATTGTGATCTTTTTTCCTTCGGAGTTTCTCAAGGAATGCGTCGCTCATTTCCAATTTCTGCAAGGCTCGATTGCCTCAGGACCTCCAAGGCGCTCCAGAAGTCTCAGGCGAAGTTGCCTCGGAGAGTCAAGTTGGCGACGATAAAACAAAATATGGACCAAATATCAACAAATGACCAACAAATGGCCAACAAATAACCAAATGGAAAGAAAAAACTTTAGACACAAACATCACAATAGGGTTTCACCAAATCTTCGTAGCAGAATCTTCGTTTCGACTCAAGCTCGACTTCGGGGTTAGTGTGCTTGATGGCTTTGGGGTACTCCATGTGGGGCCCATTTCCGCAAGCTTCCAGAAATGTGAAGCCTCACCGACTCAGCGTTTTTGTCTGCAAAAACTGCCAGGTGACGTGAGGAAGCGCACGAGGCCCGGAGGGATGTCGGGGCAACGACACCGCAGCATGAGTCCCGTGTTCTCGGGATCACTGGCCTGTTTCAGCACGAAAGCGGTACACCCAATGCACCCTGCAGATCCCAATGCACCTGGAACATGTGTCGAAATGGAAAGGTTTCAACATGTGATATGTTTCGATATGTTTCGGCCTGGTTCAAGTCGCATCAATGATTATACAACATATTATAACATATCATAACATATTATAACGCGTTTGAAGATGGTCTAATTTGGCTCAATGCTCAACGTCCAAAGCATCAGCTTGCCGCAGCTTGGCCATCGGCCCATGGCCTCTGCGCAAATGTCAACGATCTCCAGCATTGTCTGAGGCCCCAAGACATCGTTCAGCAGCTCCACCTGCGCTCAGTCTGCATCTGTGGGTCATGGATGGTCATGGTGTCCAGGAAAGATTTCTGAAAATGGTTAATATCAATTAATATCAATTAGAGTTAATTCGTAATTGATGCCACCTTTAGTTGTGATATCGAATGAGGTCACATATTTCATCCAGTCCAACACGGTCGAACTTGTTTTGACTCATGCCACAGCCTTGACACCAGCTGCAGACGCGAAGGGACTGTCCTGGCAAAACTCAAAAACTCAGAGCGAAGACGAGGCCAATATCAGAAGGCGAGAAGAAAGATAGCGATACAAGATGATCACTCGTTGAGTCGACATGGACACTCAACATACCCAAACCCGGTTTCTCCATGTTTCTCCTGACAATCTCTGCTTTGGCAATGCTTTTGTGTAGCTTGTCTATGCTTCTCTTGGGTGCTGAAGTGTCAAAGCAGCGAACAAGAGTTGAACCATGTTCAACCTCTCACCAAGTATCAACAGATTCATATCTCGTCAGCAAAGCTTCAAGGATTGTTTCGGCGAAGGACAGGAAGTTTCAAACTGGGTTCCCTTGGTTCCCTTGCCTTGGCGGCGAAGACCCGCGCTGCTTCCACTTTCAAGATTGGGTATTTGTTCCAGTGACCTGAAGGACATGGCAGGGCTTGACAGGGCGCTGAAAAAAGCTGCATCAATTTGATAGATTTTGATAGCTGATTCCATCAGACTAAGGGCTAAGGGCACCAGTTGTTCAATTCGATTGAGCTCTGCCAGGTCTGATACCGGGTTCTACTCGTATGGTCTGATATTCACCTCTGTTCCGAACGCCGTTCGCCGCTATTCAGATGGCCAGCCTTCAGCCAGTTGCGTATGCTGGGTCTGCCTGATTGAGCTACCAACCTTCAAAGGCTGCTGAGCGGCGATGAACCAATGAGGCTGATACACTCGGGGACCTTGAAACAACATAAAGATACCTAAAGTCATATATGCGCGGAACTTCATTGTCATAGACATTCATAGAACAATATAGCAAACAGCTGGCACATAGAATATTAAAAATAAATAGGTGCCACTAAGAATATGGAAAATACATAGCAAAACCTATTCCTGGAATGCCATCCACATAGAATATTTATCCACATAGAATATGGGGGGGTATATATATTTTTTACCTTTTCAAAATCTCAAGACTCTCCAAGCAAATCGTTGATCAGTGAAATCTAAAGTACACAGCGCGGACATCGCCATGCAACATGATGGTTTGATTCACGATCAACTCAGCACATCTTTACAAGGTTTATATTCTATGTGCATCGTCTGTGGATATGCACTTAGAATATTGTTTTCACCCAGGAAAAATCATGTAACTAATAGACCTATTCGAAAAAAAAACAATGATTAATTCTCGAAGTGCTAGCCGGTTACTATAATAGTAATCCCATCATTGGGATCCACTCTTTTTTGAAAGACTTCAGGAAGATGTTCAGCTGTGGAATCCTGGAAACCCCAAACATGTTTCAAGACTTGGATCATTTGGATCATTTGGATCACTTGGTACAGGAAGATGGAAGAAGGGAAGAAATGCCAAAACGACCCAGGGACCTTTGGATTCTGCCCCACAGAAACGAAGACTTCACCAGGTAAAGCATGTGCAACTGGGCCGTGAGGATTCAACTGCCACGCCTCCTGGGGAAAAGTGGCACCATGTGTGCCATGGTCAAAATATAGGGGATATCCGGGATATACATAGTATACGGGGTATCCTCTCATCTCGGCGATCCTTAAAAATTGGCACATTAAATCCCTGCGAATGGATTGACCATGCCCGCAAATAAATCAAAGGAGAGAGGGGAGAGGGAGATGAATTTGGACGATTTTCATGAATTTTCGCAAATTTTAGCTCCTGGATGATCTTCTCTATGTCGGTGATGTACCAATTTTCGATGTTTGCCTCGCCGCAGAGGCAGAATCATGCAGAATCCATAGCCCCAGGCGACAGCCCCAAAAATCGCATCAAACTGATCGGGATTTTCTCGTTAGGATTCTGCCATCTTCAGCAAATTTCTCAGGCCATGAGCTCTGTAAGTTCCGTTCCTGGGAACCATCTAAGAGATGAGCTTAGACCATAAATACGAGAAAGAAAAAGCGCGGCAAGTGTAATTAAAGCACATCAAGCACTGGTCAAGTTGAGTCGTGGACTGTTGGAAACATAGAGAATGTCAACAAAAAAACAAACCGGTGTCCAAAAGATACACTTGCTGAAAGTCTTGGAAATCTTGCTGGAATATGCTGCACACACCATGAATATCATGAATCACAGGGCTCGAACGAGCAAGGTCCAGTTTCAGACACTTCTTTCGCCCATTGAAGCCCTAAGAAATCCTAAGAATATATGGCGTAAATTGGCATAACACAATGATAACCTGCGCACACCGCCTGTGGGTCTCTGATCCACTGCAGCTCCATCAGCAAGGTATAGCCAACAGTCTGGCACAGGAATCCAAACAAATACAAATTGCACAAATGATACAATCCCATAGTTGGTATTGCTGCATGTTGCTGCATATTGCTGCATCTTGGCATATTGCTGTTCATTTTGCTCATGTGCCTCGTCCTTTTGATTCCTTCTTCTGATGGTGATTGCGCCCTAGTAATCCAGTGCTGATCCTTTTTGTCAATGCCCGTGCCATTTTGGATCATGGCAAGTCAGGTCTAGTCCATACCCTCAAGTATCAACTCAATATCCGTCTGAAAAAACACAGAAGAGGGAATTGCGTCGTCCCTTTCAGAAACAATCGTTCTAAGAAAAAGATCGTGGGAGGATGATTGAATTATGTTCAAATGCATTATATTCGAATTGTATTCAAACTATATCCAATTGCTCTGCGTGATTTGTCAAGTCTGGTTTAGTGTGATTCCAGAAGCGGCGCAGCGACACCTTGCGATCCGAAATGCGCTGATCTGCAAAGCCTCCTGCTGAGAGGGACATGCCATGCAGAGCTGCATATGGACCTCGACGTAGGCAACGGAAAATGTCACATGACGCTATGATACTGGGAATCCGTGACACATGAGGTTTCGGTTTCACAATTTGTTCACATGTTTTCTTACGTGTGTTTACAATGTTTTCACAATGTTTCACATATCACATGACACATCTCCAGCTCTGTGGCAGCCAAGGTGCACTCGTTGGCACGGACGTGTGATCCTTCTTTGACACCTCCTGGTCGAACCTGACATGGACAGTCCAACCATTTTTGCAGCGTTCCAATATGTTCCAATCTTCAGTGTCAAAGTATGCATATAACATCATATAAATTCATATAACATCATATAACACATCATACAACATCATATGACATCATATAACATCATACAACTATGCATCAACCATGCATAAGTTATTCGACAAGCTGGGCCGCACCTGGAACTTTCCAGTAGAGGCGGATCCCCATAGAGGCTGTTGTCGTTTCCAGCTCAGGGGGAAGTAGCGTGCCAGTGTCATCCGCTCCATGTGCGACCGCTTCACAACCCTAAGGCTCCACGGCATGGTGTGAAGCTCAGAGTGAGACAAACAACTTGGATTCTCTGGGTGGACTCAGATTCAGGCTACAAAAAATGATAAGAACTGATGGGATCGCAAAAGAATCTGGCCTATCTTGGGGGGAGGTTGTTTTATTTCTCTCTCTCTCTCCCTCTCTCTCTCTCTCTCTCTCTCTCCCCCTCTTGTTTTGCGATCAAAAAACAAACACGCAGCTAATGAATCAGAATCTGATGTTGAAATGCCTAGTGACTAAGTGGATCGGAAGAAAAAAGCAGTGCATGTCAAAGAAGCTGAACTCTTCAAGCTCTTAGTGACAAAGAAGTGAGCAAGTGAGCAGTGCAGCTGAGCGACACAATACGCCGAGAGAACATCCCAGCAATGAACACCGTCACATGTTGGGCTTTGTCATGCCTTGGTAAAATTTCCGGCATGGCATGCGCTCCATGCGCTTGCGCAGTACTCCAGTTCTGCGATGTTCCCAACTCTGCCCTTTACATCCCTTTGCAGCGTTCTGCTTCCAGAGTGTCTCTCTCAAACGTACTATGATTCTTGAAGCATCCGGCAATTCTTGAATGATTCTTAAAGCAGTCTGCAAAATTGGTGATTGGGCAGTGCAACTACTGTCAAAACCAGGCCGACAACTCGTGCTTGGGTTGCTAGGACTAGGATGATTTTGCATCTGAGCATCTCAAAAAATTCTCCTGGATAATCCCGGCTCCAATTGATAAACCTGCCAACCAAGGCAGCATGTGGGGTAGAAAAAACATCAAAGAAAGACACTGTACCTATACATCCCCCCATATGTATACAACATACACACATGAAAGCAATATCATCAAACATTATGCACAGCAGCCGCATTGATTGCAGGATTCAAACGGTTCAAGTGGATCTGCTCGTGTGGCCTTCCAAAGACATCCAAACTTCCGTCTTCAGGTTCTTTCGCCAATGCAGGAGCTGTTTCTCTCAGCAGTGTCTTGGCTGCTTCCCAAACATTCCTGCACGGCGTCTGCACAGGAATTCAGTTTGTGCGTATCCTGCAAAGTGCAAGAAAGAATGGCAGCTGCATATCTGTCCACGTGGACTGCCAACAAAGTCGAAATCTACCGCAACTGTTTTGGCATAAATATCAATAATAATTAACCATTTACAACAATAATTAACACTTTAAGAATGATTTGTGATATATTGTTTCCATTTGTTTCTGATGTTGTTTCCATTTTGTTCCCTTTGCACAGCAATTTGCGCATCGCGGCTTCGCTTCGCTTCCCTTGGCCTCTGCATGGTCTCGTCCAACTGTCCGAAGCCTGCAACCTCTGCGCCACTGCGACGCAGAAGTTGCAGCAACGGATCTGTCGGGTCCAAGCCCATGGCCTCACCGGTTCACACAGGTCGAAGTCACAGGAAGTCACACAGTAACGATCAACGCCACGAAAAAAAATACGAAATGAAGAAAACATTGCCTAAAACATTGCCTAAAACGAGTTCAAAATGCAAAACATCAGAAAAGGTCTATGAGTCTATTTCATTCACTGTCTCATACTATTTCATAAAACATGTCGACATATTTCGACCATGTTCACAAGATTGTAGATATTTGATTTGTAGATGATCATCAAAATTTTCGGGAATGGCTGTCAGGGATCAGGCCTCAAATTCTTCCTTCGGAGTGGCAGCCAGCACCGACCGGAGGGTGTTGTGGGTTCGAGAATCCTGGCACTGTTCCAATGTCCCCTGTAATCCTGTCTTGGTATACGAATAGATACGAATAGATAGCTAAAGCTTCATATTGACACATTGTCTTGTCAAAAGTGTGTAAATTTTGCAAGTCATCAAGGCTCAGCGCTGATCTTTCATTCAAATGTCCTTACCTTTGCTATCGAAATGAGAAAGATCCAACAATCAGCAGATTGCTGGTGATGGATCCATCTACGGCCTGTGCCAAACGGAGCACATCCAACTGGAAATGCTGTGCGAGGCGACGCAAAATACAGCCTTGGCACGGCAAAACCAGGGCAAAACCCGGCACAAGGCTCAAATTTCTCCAAATTTCTCCAAATTGTCAGTTGCCGTTGTTGACACCGACACCTTTTGCCTCGGATTTCAGCGAAGCAGCGTTGACGCAAGGACAACAGCCGCGAAAGGTACTTCCGAAGCAGGCGGCCCACCAACAGATCTCGAGCCTCCCAGCATCAAGGCAGAACACAGATCACAGAATCGTCAGTGGCCAGTCATGTGTCACCATGTGTCACCCAAAAATGCACGCGTTCATCATGCGTATCAGTTGATTGAACACAAAACATACAAAAACATACAAAACATGCTTAAAATTAAGTGTATAATGAAACTTAAAACCAGGTATATAATCAATCTCAATTAATTTTAATTGATTTGAATTGATTTTATTTTTATACTTAATTCACCGAGGCCCGCCCTGCCACGCCTCCCATGGAAAAAAGACATTCCGCAGCACCGTGTTGTCAATGGCACTCCGCCTTGGGCTCGAAATGAAAATTATTTTCCGAAATTGTTCCTTTTGAATGATATGGAAATAATATGAATATGATGATTTTTTTTCATTCAGCAGCAGTTAAGACGTGTCTTGTGCTGTCGTGCAATAGACTGTACATTGCCTTACCGGTGTGGTTGGTAATCAGGCAAGAATGTGGTAGCAGAGCAGGAGGATGACGCAGTCTCGACTGCCCGCAACCACAACATGTCCCGCTCTTCGAGCTGGGAAAAATTTCGAACCTGCATACCCTGATCTCGCCGACGATGAGAGAGCCCAGTAAAGAGCGTGGTCACAATCGCCCGGCAGAATCCACTTGGGTACTCCTTCGCCTTAGCGGTGTTGAAGAGCCCAGTGCAGCCATCCAATCCTGCAAGAGTAGCAGTAGGTCGAGTCACCCCCGGCAAGGCTGAATCGTGAAGAATCTCGGCAGATGGTGGCAAGCCCATCAGCCTAAGCGTGGTCGGTTTGACAGCCGGGGCGCCATAGCGCCATTGCTCAACTTCAAGAAGTTGAAAGCCGGGTGCACCCCCACAGATCAAGCGCTGCAGCGCGGTTCTCCAAACACTCGGATAATCAGGATTACTGTGGGGAGCAGGGTGCTCCATGACTGAGGCTCCGTCGTTCAGGACAATCTCGACCTCAATGGAAACATTGGATGTCATGAGCGCACTGCCAGTCGAAAGTTGATTCAACTCTCGGTGGGAGAGTGCTTCCAGTCCCCATGGCTTGGCTTCAGAGCGAAGCGGTCGAGGCCAACGGCGGTTGCAACCAGCGGGGGGTTGCAAATGCCTTGCCGCTGACCACGTTTCACAGGGAGGTCCTGAGAGTGATGCGGTAGCGAGGCCAAGTGCAATAAAGCGCTTGAGAGACGCAAGGCCTTCTCCTTGTAGCAAATCACACTTGTCACCACCAACGGCTGTGTCAATGGATAAAATGATGACATCAATGTCGTCAAAGTACTCCTTGGAGAGCTTGGCGACCCAGTCGTGACAATCTCCCGGGCGTCTTCGTCCAGAGAAGAGGTGCACGATGTACATGACAAGGCTACCATCATCTCGACGACAAACAGGGATTCCGCGCTGCTGTGGCCATTCAATGACTCTCCCTCCAATGAAGGGTTGCAGTGCAGTATCGATCGTGCGATAAATTGCCTGAAAAGGTTCTTTAGTCCCTGCCTGCTTCTGCTGCGGTGAAGACGTAGGCAAAGAGAAGTCCTTCTCAGCAAAAAACGGTGTGGCACGGTGCAACTTCTCCAAGCGGTCCAGAAGCGCCGAAACCGGAAGGTCATCAAGCATGTATAAATACTGCTGTTCCACTGACATCTGGATGTCTGGGTCTTCGATCTTGCTGATTTCATCGTACATGCACGTACGTCCCCAGAGGCCGAAGGCCCAGATGGCATGCATGCCACGAAGAGAATCGTGAGGTTCATCAAAACTATCAATAAGGATACTCCATCGAAAGGCCAGTGCGTCTGCTTGCGCACCATCCGCAATCCAAATCTGAATGGCATTGTTCATGGCTGCAATGTACTGATTCACAGATCTCAACGGAGAGGTCTTCAGGAAATCCAGCCTTCTGCCAGTCCGCCGTCCATTCAACCCAGGCCTTGTCGTGCTGAATAGCCCATAGGGCACGTGGGGGCGCAGGCACAGGTCCACATGCATGCGTCCATGGCAGACGAAATTGACCCTTGAAAAACTCAAAGTGCATCTGGATCCATTCAAGGCATCCATTCTCAAAACGTCTGCTGTATCGAAGATGTTGCTGGAGTCGCTGAGCGGTCCAGAAGCAACGATGACAGCAAAGACAAGTGCTAGAGAAAACAAATTGTCTCTCAATGGAAATGGTCTGGTGCTGCTTCCACCGGTGAGCATTCAAACCTTGCACTGTGGAAAAGGACTTGCAGCACTCTGAACAGTCAAAGGAAATCAGTGGCGATGCCTGGGAGACAGTGACATTCTCAAAAACAACACCATAACTCAAGCACATAGATTTGAGATCACGATGAGCTTGTACAACTTGATGAGCCGTGAACTCTTGCATCAAGTGCCGGTGAACAGCACGTCGGATGGACTTGGGCATAGTGGCAGGAGCCTCAAACGCCCAGCGGACAATGCTTTCACATGTGAGATCAGGCATACTTTCAGCATTCTGCATGGAGAAAAACCATCGGAGGGCTTGCCGTACTGCAGTCAGCCATGAGCATGAGGTACAACCATCTTCAGCCGTCAAACATTCCCACAGAATCGCGGGGCCATGATGCCGTAGCTGAAGAAGGAATAACAATCGATGCTTAGCAAGCCGAAGAGCAAGTTCAGGGATTTTCCACCTCGCACGGAGAGCTTGGTCAGATAGAGAACCCTCAATCCAATAACCGTTGCCAATGATCTGTCGTTGCCAGCGTGTAATCACCGCAGAAAGGCGCGTACAGAGTTGCATTGGAAGAAGTGGCCATCTCCCAGCTCCGTAAAACAGAATGGGGAGCACAAGGGATTCCAAAAGCTTCAATCGAACCGCAATGGGAATACGCTTGTTGCCAAATAGTGGGCGATGAAGGGATCGATAGGCAGCAGTGGCCTTGCCAATCTTAGTGGTGACGTCAGTCTTGATGTCACAGTCCTGCGCAAAGGAAATACCAAGGTGAACATACTGCGTGACAATGCGCAGAGGCTCTTTACCTGGAACCTCAAGGTGACTGAAGTGTTCCAGAAATCTGGCACGTCGCAATTGTGCAGCATTGGGTCCTCTGTAGTGGACAACTGCTTCGGTCTTACCCTTGCTGAGATTCAAGCGCAGCCCAAAGCGGTTGAACACCTGATGCATGATCAACATGACTTGCGCCAAGGTCGCATCCAAGGAGTCGGCCTCAATGCAGGACACTGGCATGGCAATGTCATCAACCCATGCAAGCACGGGCATGACAAATTCCAGAAAAGCATGAGCTGTCATAATGGAGCCAATGGCATGAACCACATTGCAGTTCATTCAAGAGCGAGGTCATGAGCACATTGTACGCCAGGTCTGCTAAGGGAGAACCAGGCCGAGAGCCTCGCGTGGTCTCAAAGCAATCAGGCGATTGAGGGCAAACGAACCACGTCGAACAGTGAGCATCTTGGGCAACACGCGCCAAAGAGGGAGAAACTTGATCGACAAAATGAGAAGAATGCCGTCGGGCTTCAGCTAAAAGCGTGTCAACGCAAAGTCCCTCACGACGTAAAGTGTCGGCTAAGGCAGCAGGAAAACAATCACCAGTGCCAAAAGCATGTTGACGCAATAGGCAATGAAATGCACTCTTGACGTCAACGAAGACCACTGCTGTTGAAACACGTTTCGAAGCGGCAAAGTTGACAAACGATCGCAACATCAAAGAGGCAAATGCAGGCTGCTGGCCTTTGAATCCCCCAAACTGAGTGGGCAGCCGATTGCCATTTGCCCATGGAAGCAAGCGAGAGCGCACCAGGGCATGGTAAATTTTTCCAATGTTGTCCAACAACATGATTCCCCTCATATTGGCAGTGGTGAGGCCACCTGCCTTCTTTGCGATTGAGTGAATCGCACCGCCTTTAAATTGTAATTTTTTCCGCTACACTCACCCAAGCCTTGAACATCAAGTCAAAGATGGCGTGGGAAGAAAATGCGATCAGACTTTGAAGCACTTCAGCAGGAACAGCATCAAGTCCAGGCGCTCGACCTCGTTGAGCTTGGAGACAAAAAGTTTCAATTTCGACTCGTGTGGGGAGCTCAGCGATGGCAATTTGAAGAGGCTGTTCAGCAAGATTGTCAAGCTGTTTTTGGGCACAGCAGCGCAGTAAATCATCATATGAAATGGACTGGCCAGCTTCAAGTGCACAATAATGTTGAGTAAGAGCATCACCGCTAGGGCCTTGGCATCGGATATTGGAGCGTGTCTTGGCAGCATTCTTAGGCAGAATGTGTTTGATGCGCCTCCATAATCCATTGATACCTTCATCCGCCGCAACGTCACCTTGTGATTGGGCAAGCTCCTGATAGAACAATTTGTCATCATTGCGAACATGTGTGGTGACATCAAGGCAAAGCTGACGATGACGCCATTCATGAAGAGCAATTGCACGGTCAGTAAGACGTAGCCATGGACGTAGGGCATCCTGGGGCGTGGTGTCCTTGTGGCTCCATTTGTGAAAAATCTCTCGAAGAATGCAATGGCGAAGAGTGCGTCGCAACTGCCTGCACCTCATCCAATGGTGTTTCTTCAAACGAATCAACTGCCACGTTTCATCACTCAAGTGCTTTTTGCGCTTGAGGGCTTTGGGGCGTGTTGACATGGTCTGCTTCAACCACAATTGAAGATGGGCAGCATGTGAGTGCACATCAAGATGCCAAGGTGTACAAGGCATAGGTAACGGTACCGCAAAGGAGTCATCAACCTCTCTCACGTGCACAGGCTTGCCAGTTGCAATCAGACAATGTAAAAGAACTTCACAAAGGACACTAGTGTGATCCTGCTTGGTGATGGTGAGGTCCACAGGAGCAATCGATGTACTAACATCAGCTGAAAAGATGTCATGCGAAATGGCCACATAATCAAGCCTGGCTTCTTTACCTGTACTGTGTCGCCAAGTCGTATGATCACCTGTGTGGTGGGCATCAAACGTCTGCGGAAGTACAAGGTCAAGATCATGCAGCCATTGATGCAAACATGTGCCCACATCGTTTTCAGTCTCAGCTCCAAAGTTGCCAATACAATGTGACTCCACAGAGCCAACTCGAGCATTGGCATCAAGAAAGGCAATAATGGACCAATTGCGCTTGGAAGCAGGAATAGAGTTAGTAGTCGCTGTCCACCAGGAAGACGTATCCTCTGGCGAAGCACACGCCGGTCCATGACCAGCAATCAGGATGAAGCGCAGGTCATTCTTGTGCAATTGCACAACAATACGTTGCGCACTGGAGTGCAAGATCCTCATGTCGGCATGTTGGAAATGAAGAGTGCCAGCTGCAAAGACCCAGCAGCGTTTGATCCAAATTTGACATCCTCCAACACCTTTCTTCGTGGCAGGGGCAGAAAGGATGTGGTAATCCTCCAGTAGGAGGTGTCCTTGGAGTTGCGATCGAGTTTCTTGAACACCAACCATGTGAATGTCTTCTCGTGCAAAACTCCGAAGCAATGCTTCCAATCGCGCCGTGATGCCAGAGCCACCAAGAGTCAAAACATTGGCAGTCGCACAGCGTAAGCGAAAAGAAATGCGCTCACAAGGAGGATGCTCAAGTGTTCGACGTTGATGAAATGGGTGATGATCAGCCGAAGGAGCATTGCACAGAGGCTGCGATGCCAATATTTGCATAACTCCATCAGTGATCAAAGGTCGAGTGCACGAGGTAGATTCCATAGTCCAAAGCCAGTGTACTTCAGGCTCAGCAAGTCTGTCTTGAATGGGTTGCAACACAATAGAGGGAATCCAAGAAGCAAGCGTAGCCCAAGCGAGGGCATCAGCTGCCTCATTCCACGGATGGCCAGAATGTGCTGGGACATGGATCCATCCAACATGAATCTGTGTCCGAGCTTCAAGCCAATGTACAAGAGCACGATTGGCACGTTGAAGAACGATATGTTCTCTCGCACCCCAATACCCTGCAGCAACATAGCCAGCAACCAGGCAGTCAAAGCAGAAGTTGATGGAGGGACAGAAACCTTGCCCCAGAAAGGGCTGAATAAGCTGATGAGCCCACAAAAGGGCAAGGCAAACCGCATCAATTTCAGCTCGAGGGGCAAAAACAGCCCCAGAGTTGGCATTCAGGAATCCACCAAATCGATCACCGTCAGCTGTGTGGACAATCAGGACCACAGCAGAGGCCGCAAGACGTTCTTGCGCAAGAACGCAGATGAACCATCCGTCTACAAAAGGAGAAACAAAGTGGTTGTTCTCCGGCCCAATCAGGTGTGATCAAAAAGGCGTCTTGTGTCGCTGCATGCCACTTGACAACATTCTGTCGTGATTTGGCCATGCCAAGAGGAGCAATGAGAAGCAACTCACGAAGCGCAAGAACAGGTTGGAAATCAACATGGGTACAAACTGGTGGAGGGATCAGGTCATCCAAACGTAAAGGAAGGTGAGGTCCAGGAGGAGGTCGCATTCCCTCTAGAGCAGAATCAACAGCGCGTCGAAGTCCTCGCACTTCTATCTGCATCAGACTGACTCCTTCTGCTCCTGAATCATCTCGGGCGCAGGTGTGGGATCCAAGTTGTCAATCACCAGACCTTCACCAGAAGCAAACGGTGATGGAACATTGGGATCAAAATAGGTCTGCCCTCTTCCCACTCGTCTTGGAAATCTCAGCAACGGCACAGGAATAGGGAAGGCAGCCACAATGTCTTCGGCAGAAGATTCTTGAGGGATGCACACTGCGACCCGATGTATTGCCAGTCCTTCATGGTCACGAACTCCAGCTGTCAGCAACACAGCCACTGAGTGAATTGGCAGAGCTTGCACAGTCAAAATGTGGCCAAGAACATGGTCAGTCAGCGAGGTTGGTGGGGCTGGCGATATCCAAAACAGCTCCGCAGGCCTGCTAGAATCACGTCGATCACCCCATGTTTCGACCAAGGTTCGCTGCCAATTGGTAGGATCGTCTCGCAGCCTGACAATGCGTCCAGGTTCACATCGAGGAGCATAAGAGGCATGCACGTACCACGTGGCAACGTACGCAACTGGTCCTTCTTCTGGTCGTTCAGTCTCAGCAAGATCTTGAAAGACACGATGTAGTGATTGTAACCATAACGGCATGGTTTCAAGGAGTCGTTGTTGGTGTGACGCCTGTACTCTTGAGTCAATGGCATCAATGCGGGCCTGAAGATTGGTGCCATGGGTTTGCATCACATTCATGCTCAAAGTGCGATGAATGACAAACTTGAAAGCGTTCCCATGTCGAGCAGGGATGCGTTCATGTGGCTCAAAGGGACGTGAGCCAAGCCAGAGCGCACAAACATTTGCAGGAATTTCCGGAGGGCAATCATCGTGTGATTGCGGCATCGTGCAAACAGAATGCAGGTCAATGCGGTCACCCATGACAATCGCAATCGAGTGAGCACGTCCTTGATCATATTCATTGTCGTAGGTAGAAATCACAACAGAACGCTGCAGAAAATGGGGTCGCTGCACAAGAATCAATTGCCCAATAACTTGCCCTGTCGCATCTTCAGGGTAGGGTCAACCATGTGAAATTCAAGCGGTACCCCAGGAAGAATATATTGGCGCCAAAGATGACGAAGTTGTTCTTCCCATCTGTGCGCATCAGGCCCGAGGACGGCAATCCTGGTGTGATGACACCTTTGAAAATTGGTGTGATCAGTGAACCAAGTTTCAATGCGCCCCAAGCGTTCCATGCCACCAGGGCCAATGGTTGCAAAGCGCGTCCAAGCCTCATGTAGATGTTGAACCCATGGGTCATATACGGTAATGTCACCAGGGTCATCGTCAAGGAACTCAGGCAAAGCATCCGTTGCAGTGCGCAATGCATCAACTGCTTGTAAGAACTCCTCAGTGAAACTGAAAGAAGTAACAGCAGGTTGCGCTTCCTCCGCATCACGAAGAGCAAGGTCCCTCAGAGGAGAAGCACGTGCATGGCAATCAATGGGACAATCATCAAGCCCATCAGCACAAGGTGCTTGCAATCGCACTGCAAGGGTGTCACGCTTGTCGACAATCTGCAAGAGAGTCGTAGCATCATTCTCCTCAACGCAGTGAAAGCGATGTTCGTCACTGCCAATAAAAATTTTGACATAGTCGCCATCATCAATGGTGAGGGCACCCGATGACAAGGGGTCCACCAGGACATTGTTGATCCAAAGGTGGGTCTTGTCTTCGTGGAGCGTAAGCAACTCCTCAAGGCGAAGGATCCGGAATAGGGACAACCGTGTAGTGGTATGTGGAAGCCACTTCGCAGATCGTTGAAAAACGCCAGGTAGGATGTCATTTGGTTCGATGATCTCCATGTCCAAGAGAGCAAGTCGTAGGAATGGAATGGGTCTCTGTTGAGAGACCTTGACAATCAAAGTGCACATCAACTCCATGGCAACAAGATCTTCAGGTCTCGCAGACACGGCGACAGCAACCAGCACGTCACCAGGAGAGAGAGATAGGGCAAGCTCAATGCTACGCAGCTGTTCAGGGCCAGGTTCATCAGGAAGATGACAAGAAAACGAAGTGCCATCAAGGGTAAAAACAACCGTTCTGGACCAGGCAACCGATCTCATAGATGGAGCACCACTGGCAGAGCTGGCATCAGTGCCGGAATGAGATCTAGATGAACTGGATGATGAAGGGCCACGAGCATGTGGTCTGCGTGCCATAAAAGTGACTTGGTCATCAACTTCTTCGTGTCGAGGTGGTGGTTGCGGGACAAACTCTGGCCAATCCTCAATGCGGGGCCTCACATAGATGTTCCATGCCTCCTCATTGATGATCATGGGGACATCAACGACAATGCCCAAGCCGTCAATCATGCGAAGTGGTCGTTCACGGGGAAACACATGCTGTCCTGCTCTAACAACACACGGCCTCAGGCCTTGTCGTTGTGCCTCAACGCAGGCCTCGAAAGCATCAGCTCGATGCAAGACAGTAGTGTAATCTGTCCAAATATCAAGAACATGAGCAATCTCAATGGTGCGCGGCTCTGGGAGCTCATCAAAGAGTGCCGTGGTCAGTATCGCAGCACCTTCCGGTTGTGCATGCTGCACAATGAGAACAATCCCAACGATGCCTCTTGTAATAGAAATGGGTGGTTCAGGCTGGACGAGGAAGAGATTGAAATCTGCGTTTCGATCAAAAAGGTCGCCCCAAACCTGTTTGAACTCTTCAATCCACTCTTCATAGCGTCTCGTCAGTCGTATCGGCCGGCTCGCAGCTTGACGAACGCAGTTGCGGTGGCTCAAGTAATAGGTGCTGAGAATCATGACAGGTCCTTCTTCAAGAAGTTCAGTGGCGCCTTCATCTTGAAGAATGTTCCATAAGGTCTCAACCCTGCAGGAAGGTGCCGAAGTGGAACTCGATGCGGTCCAGCTCGTCCATGGAAGTCCTCTGAGGAGCTGGGTGGATCCGGCAAATTGGGATTTTCAGTCAAGTCAGGCCGATGCTGTAGAGGGCGTGTACTCGACCGATGCAAAAGATGACTGCATTCAATGAATTCATTGCAAAGAGATTGAGAGGAAGTAGAGCACTTCGGCAAAAATCCTCGTAGTGAAACTTCATCAATGACAACACTGCGTGTAGCCCAGAAAGGGCTAGATTCCAATCCAAAATGGACTTGCACAACAGGGTCAAAACAAACACGAAGGTTTTTCCTGCTGCGTCGGTGTGATGAAGAGAATCCCCAATCTCGACATTCACATTGCGTAAGGAAGCTGGCAGGGTGCAAATCGAAGGCAAGTTGCATCGCCTCTTCACTGGCATTCCACGGAGATTTGTAACTCGGGTCTTGCAAGATGGAGTGCGACCATTGCATTCCTGCAACGCCAGCATGAATGTGCGAAGATGGCCAAGGTGCCCATCGATCAAAGTACTCAAGAGTCATCAATGACCGGGCGCACCAAAAGGCTGCATGGATGGCAGCCCTCCGGACGACATAGCTGCGTCCACCACATCTGTGTCTTTCTGACGTGGCCGTTTGGCCTTGCGTTCTTCTTCTGCAGTGTGCTCCTTTTCTGCCCGCTCGGATAGCTTCTGGAGGCTGTCCGTCATGTGACAAAGCCCTTCGAGAATCTTGTGGGCAGATTCTTTGGTGGACACATCCTTGGACTCTGTGTCCTTGTCGGAGATGACCGTGGCCTCCTCTTCCTTCAAATTGAAATCTGCTTTGGCTTTCTGAAGGGTCTCTTTGGCAGTCTTGATGTTTTCCTGATGAGCTTGTTCTTGCTGCTGGAAATGGTCCGTGTACTGACGGAATCTTTCCAATGACATTGTCAAGAACGCTCTCCATTGTGCCATCAGATTGCTGCGTGCCAACAGAGCTGTATCCAAGGCCTCTCGAGCTTTCGTCAACTCGTCCACTGCAGTGTAAAGAGTCTTCGCATCTTTTTTGGTTGCAGCTTTGGTTTCCTCTGCAACAAAGTTCTGCAATTCCGGGGTCAGCGCCTCTGGATTGGCTTTCTTGAGCATGGATGCTACGTCCTTCAGCTTCTGTTCCGCAGGTGACAGCGCTGTTGCCGCTGTAGAGGACGTCGATGCACCAGGAGGCAATGGCATACTCATCCAAGGATTGAAGGCGGCTGCTGTCCCTGTGGTCCAACAATGGGTGGTGGAGGCGGGGGCGCAAGTGGGTGCTGCGAAGGCCCATTGCGCTCTGGAAGCTTCCCACGTCCTCTGCCACGATTCTTCTTTGTTCTCGGATTCTGTCTGGGGCTTTGATCTCCCATCCAAGGGCCATGGTCCGGCTCCGTCCAATATGCCCGTCTGGAGGAGGACCGCGACGTGGACTTCTTCTGCTTGGGGTAGACAATACCGTCTTCCCATGAGGATCCGCAGGTCGCAGAACCAGGCATTCTTGGCTCTGAGCTTCTTGCAGTTGCCACACATCCAGCCTGCGTTCATCTGTTGTTGCGTCGTCATCTCGCAATGGATGCGATGCAAGAAAGCAGGGTCGCGGCTGTGATGCTTTGAAAGTGTCAACGCAATTGAACTCAGTTGAAGAGTCGGAAGAGGTCTGATGCCAGAACGATGTAGGTGCCACTTGAACCGCGCTGTGGCTCGTTCCCTTCTTTGCCGCCTTCGCTTGGAGGGGTGAATGGTGACAAACAGCAGAAGGAAGAGAAAGCGCGTCCAAAAAGATGGTACCCTCAAAGCCCAAGAAGATATGGATGAGCAGGAAGAATCCCCAGCACCTGCTCATACACCAACACGTAGCGCCAGCCGCCACCAATGCCAGCCCGAACTTCGTCAGGTAGGCAAGGAAAAAGAAAGGCGCTGCAGCGCAAGCAAAGGCCACCAGCGCCAGCAAGGACGCAATGGCAGCCCGCGGGTGACAAAACACAACCCGCTAAGTTAACGACTGAGCGAAGGAGTGCCTCAGCCGAAACCTTAACGCATCCTCACCAGCCATTCCGGCCACTTTGGGCGTCGGAATGGGCACTGCCACTTGCATGTTTTCCTGCAACGCAGCCTTCACCACCGCGGGATCTTCTTTGCTGCCGTGTGGATTTTCAACCGGAAAGCTCTCTCCGGAGTCACCGCTTTGGGCGCCCTCTCCGTCGTCGGTGAACGCAAAGTACCGGTTGGGCCCTTCTTCCCAAACTGCACCTTGAAGTTCGTCAAATATGACGAATTTGTATTCTACTGGCGCTTGGCATTGAATACTCCCAAACCACATGGGATATTTCGAAGGATCTGTGGTGAGGGCTGGTGCCTTGGCCGGATCCCAGTTGCCAAGCTTGGGACAGTTGCCCACCACTCGTACGCTCTGGCCGAAGCGGGTTTCGGCCTTGTACACAAAAGCCAGGGTTGCAGCCATGACCTGGAAGCGGTCCCGGCCAAAATGGAATTGGTTGATGGCGCAACTTGCGAGGCAAAAAGGCTTGAGCCAAAATGGCTACGGAATATGATGAATATTCATAAACACGCTCTATTATATATGAAGTATAAGTATAATCTATTGTATGTAGATAGTTATAGATAATTGTTGATATATGATATAGACTATATATAGATATTATATGATATAGACATAGATATTATATAGATATTATGGTCTTCATTTTTCCTTCAAACTCTTTGGTTTTTCCATTTTTTCGTGGTTGAATCGCTGGGAAGCCACGCCCTTGCTTCTGCGCAACACCACCGGTGGCCACGTAAGACTTATCGCTGCCACTGCGGCCTGGGGACGATGTCGCGACAGGATCGGTTTCCATGGGAAAAACGGGAGAACATGTGAAAACATGAGAACATCATGGAAATATCTTAGAAATATCTTAGAAATATCATGGAAATATCATGGAAATATCCTGGAAATATCTTAGAAATATCTTAGAAATATCATGGAAATATCTTAGATATATCTTAGAAATATCATGGAAATATCTTAGAAATATCTTAGAAATATCTTAGAAATATCTTAGAAATATCATGGAAATATCTTAGAAATATCATGGAAATATCTTAGAAATATCTTAGAAATATCTTAGAAATATCTTAGAAATATCTTAGAAATATCATGGAAATATCTTAGAAATATCTTAGAAATATCTTAGAAATATCATGGAAATATCTTAGAAATATCTTAGAAATATTATGGAAATATCTTAGAAATATCTTAGAAATATCTTAGAAATATCTTAGAAATATCTTAGAAATATCATGGAAATATCTTAGAAATATCTTAGAAATATCTTAGAAATATCATGGAAATATCTTAGAAAATTCTTAGAAATATCTTAGAAATATCTTAGAAATAGCTTAGAAATATCTTAGAAATATCTTAGAAATATCATGGAAATATCTTAGAAATATCTTTTAAATATCTTAGAAATATCTTAGAAATATCTTAGAAATATCTTAGAAATATCATGGAAATATCTTAGAAATGAGGGAACTATCACATGCAAAAGAAAGACCAGTACATTCTGTCAACATGGAAGTAGTTGATGCATAACAATAATGTGGAAGTTCATCACAGTTCATCACATTTCACTTTCCTGGCCCTAATGGCCCTAATATGCGGGGTAATATGGGTAATTTAAAATTTGAGCAATCCATCAAAGAGTATTAGCGATATGAGAGTAGTATTATACATACGTGTTCATATATATATATATAGTATTATAACATCTTATAACATATTATAACTGTATTGTATGATATTTGAGAAGTATCATGTATCTCATCGATTCTCATCGATTCTCATCGATTCTCATCGCTGTTCCGCTCCGAGGGCTCGACTGATCAAGGCCTTCTTGCGAGCTGCGCCATCCACCACCACGGCCCAACCGTCCGGACTGGGCTCGATGGGCCTCAGCCAACAGCCGACTCGGCAGATGCCAATCTGTTCCTTGGCGTTGTCTTCCTTGATGTACTGAGAACATACTAGCTATATCTAGCTATAATATGTTACAAATTGTTACAAATTGTTACAAATTGTTACAATGACAGTTACAATGACAGTTACAATGACAGTTAGCCAACTGACAGTTTTCATCTGAGATCTCTGGCAACTTGTTGTACTCGTAGGCTGTAACACCAAGGACTTCCATGGCCTGAAGTGAAATCCGGCTGTGGGACTCCACTTCCAATCGTATTTCCAACCGTACTTCCGTTTCAACATCTGGTCCCCTCGCAGGTTTGACCATGTTTGATCATGTAAACAAATCACAACAAGTCACAAGAAGTCAACATGATTGGCCCATTGGCTTCCCGACCTCCACGAACCACGAATATAGAATGCTAAGGTTACCCCCTCGAGCAGAACCGTACCAGAGCTCCTATGCGAGTTTGCAAAACAGCCAGGTAAGGCCATTCGGAACGAAAGAACAAATATGAAACATAAAAACGTCCAAAAGAGATCATTTGACGTCCAAATTCAGAAAAGCATGCGCCTTTGCATCCACACCATCCACCATTCTAACATCTTCTAAGTAAATTCTAAGTAATTCTACGCGTTCTAATCCACGGTGACACGGACCTACAGGTGACCTACCGGTGGACCGGTGACGGGACATGGCTCCGTGAGATGCATGATGTGATGCTTCAACTCCACGATCTGATGGCCCTGGCGGGATCGACACAATTCATCGACCAATCGGTAGAGAATCGCAGAGAATCGCAGAGAATCGCAGAGAATCGCAGAGAATGGCTGGATGACAGAGATTTTGCAACTTTTTGTGTCATCTCAGTCATCACTCTGTAACTCCCAGCTGCTTGGCGACAAAAGGTAGTTGCATTGAAGTCTTTGAATTGACCAGCTCCTGATCAAAGACTTATAAAATTAACATAATTTATGAAGTCAATTTAATGTCAATTTAATTCGTCTGAGGTGCGAGCCTGCAGTGGAAAGCAGTCGTGGATCCTCAGTTGGAGACACTCTCACTCGGCAAAAGAACGGTCTGCACACCTGCCACAGTCCACCCACCAGCTCTGTGTGCTCCGTCCAGCAATAACGGCAATAACCCTTCGAACCCGATCTTCAACTTCCAACTGATCAACTATGATCAACTTCACATGATTTCACCCCGTCCCTTTGTCGAATTTTATGTCCTGACGCCCTGCAACGCCCTGATGCCGTCACCAAATTGGCCAAGGATCCGATACTTCGCACGCTGTCTTCGTCGGATCTCATCGGTCAACTGATCCAAGCGATCTCGCAGTGGGCTCCACAGGGCCGCCTCCAAGTTTCGACTGCACTGAATGGTCTACGGTCTCACGGTCTCACGGTCTCACCAACGGTCTTACATCGTTTTACCATGGTTTACCCTTCCGTGAGATCATCTATGACCACGTTAGTTGTGTGTTAATCCTGCGTATGTCCTGGAAACAATATATGCGGGTTTGTGACTTTCTGCGTTTTACATCGTTTTGAAACCGTTGTAGTCGAAAATCAGAAACGCTCCGGTTTCCTGTCTCTAGAATGCCCTGAACGCAGTGGGCGTAAGGGCATGGAAAACCGAGACCGTTTCCTACCCTGGCCAAGTCCATGACAAGACTCGGACACAAGATTCAAACCATGATAGCAATGTATAGCAACGGTGAGTCTTGTAGAAGGCTGCAATGGCACTGTCGATGGAAGGAACAAATCAACCAGTTTTGGGCCACAGATTGCCTGAAAGTGCGCCCGTGGCAAGGCACCACCTGGCTTGTGAAGTCCCATAAGATCCACAAGGATTAAAAAAACAGAAAGCCAACATAAGATCCATTGTCCAATCCAAAATCCAATGAATCCAGAATCTTGATGAATCTGCAAAAACACAAAGTTGAGTTCGACAGGACACCTGATTCTGTAGGTAAGTCAGAGATACCAACTGGTGGCCTCAGCCCAAAGTGAGAGTAGGTCGAGTAGGTCGAGGTGACAGTGATGAATGTGAAAAGCGAATACGCAGAGCATGCCATACTTTTTGCAGAGTATGGCCGAGTCCATTTCGATAAATACATAGGAGATCATAGGAGCTACAATTGTAAGGAAACGTCTGTTTGAACTGTTTTTGCCATATGACTTACACAAATTAGATAAAACAGCATGCACTTTGACCAACATCCACTGCACCACATTTAGAGATTGTATGTCTTGCAAACTAGTCGTTCTACAAGTCTATGTGAGTTCCAATGGAACATATGAGTTGCAGGCGGAGTGGAAGTCAACCAGAGTTGGGCCAGCATACTAATGGACCTGGGAACTGCTGATGCGTGCATGTCTTATGTTCATGTTTTGACAAGAACGGAATTTTTACCTTGATTTCAGTACTGTACAATGAAATCCATGGTCAGTTGCTTCATTTGATTTGATATACAGCCCATATGTTCAGCCAACACGATGGATGCAACGGTCGAACTTTTTCCGAACATGGACATGCTTCTTATGTGAAGGTCTTATGATACCTGACAAATGTTCAATTTCCAGCGGCAAAGGGGCAACCTGGCACAGTCTTACCACAGAAAAGACATGGGTGACCCGGTGACCCCACGTGGAAGTCGTCGGCAAGAAAGCCAAACTTGCAGCTGCCGCCTGGGAGACTGGAGACATCTGGAGACATCTGGAGACTGGAGTTGTGACGCACCATCTCTCCATCTCCAATCCGAGTTGGCCAAGGTGTGGTGTGGAAACTCAGCGCAACTGATTCAGGCCGCAACGTTGCTGCTGGTATGCAAGCCTTTACAGGTAAAGTCCAGGTAGAGGTTTAAAAATGGTTCAATTATAAGCAAATTATAAGCAAATTCATGCAAGTGCGCAACTTGACGCTCCACATTTCGTTCTGCAAAAGCGAAATCACAGTGGTTTGAAGCGACCTTGAAAGCGATGCCCCTGTTCTCTGACTTCCTCATCCTGCAGTGACAAGGCACATGCTTGCCAGATTGCCTCAATATATCCGATTTGCAAAGAAAGAAAACAATGTATATGTTCTTTAAAGAGAGAACACACTGCACAGCTGTTCACGGAGCTTCAAGTTATGATTTAGTTATGATTTGAGTTATGATGAAACATGATGAAACCATTGTTTTGATTGATTTCGATGAATCAGATTGGCAACGGAACCCGCAGATCGTCCTTTGGGCCCAAGTAACTGGTCTCATGGGTTCTCCTTGGCGCAGCGTTTTTTCAAGTCAAGGAATGCTTAAACTCTGCACATGCGTCACATGCGATATCTTTCACTGGTAATATTGGTAACATCAACATGAGTCAACATGTCAACATGTCTCACACATGTCTCATACATGTCTCATACGTGTCTCATACATGTCTCATAGAATGAAAGTTCAGCTGCCCTCACGGCGTGTGATGCGGGGTGCGGGGAAAACAGAGCTCTTTGCTCAGACTTCGGGATCTCTTGGGATCTCGTCTCTTGGCATGTGACATGTGACAAGATCTGCCACGAACATCAGAAAAACCCAAAAAACTCAAAAAGTAATAAGAAATCTAAGAAATCTAAGAAATATAAGAAATGAATTCAGTAGAAAAACACCCAATCTTAAAAATCTTAAAAGAAAGTGGGCTCCAGAATTTGCAGCGAGGTGTCTTGGCAAAGGAAGCGATGGACTTGCTGCCCACCCGTGCCTCATCCACCTGCAGAGGGTAACACTGTTTCCGCCGCTGCGGAGTTGGGAAATGACCCGGTAATACAGGAGACAAATACGACAAGGAAAAAAATGTCATGCGAAATTTGAAGCAATATGAAGCAATACATTCATGGCTTGATACATCTGGAGCTCACCAAGCAAAAGAAATAATAAGAAACTGTGTGAAACTAGTGGGCAGCAAAGCAACTGGTCTTGCTAAATTGCACACATGACTTTCTCGTAGGCCTTTGCTCCCTTAGGCTGATCTTACTGGATAAAGAAGGTTGGACTGTGGCAATAAAAGAAACGCCATTGTCATTAGATTATATAAGATTCCTTATCTGTCCTTATCTCAGATTCTCACCCCTTCGTTGCTTTTCTGATTCTCAGATTCGACATGATTCGACTCCTTCATCTTGCGATGAGTTGTGCCTCCAGGAGCCGACAAATTCTCAGGCCGACTCCTTCGGCTGGAACAACCTAAGTCGAACATGATGAACTCAAGATAACTCAAGTTGCAAAACATTGCAGAACAAAAAAACATTTAAAAACAAAAACAAAACATCATCAGTTGCAAGTTCAAGGGTTCCGAACGACTCGAGGCTTGCAATTCTCCCAGGCTTCCTGCAGATCGAGACTATGACGTGTGACAACTTTCGGAGCGGTGAAACTCGCCAATAGCATTCGATAACATCGAGATGCATCAAGACTCCCCCAGGTGTCGATGCACTTTTGAGCTCACTGAATCGTCTGTTTGGTTTCGATCTCGAGAATGCAATGATGGCTTCACATGTGAAATCTTTCAACCCGAGAAAACTGCCATAGGAAAGGCACCCAGCGGAGTCCAAAAAGTCCAAGTGTGACACTGTGACAGGGCTGAGTTGCCGAGGCCAAGTCAGCCGAGTCCTGATTCAAAAGATCCTCTTCTGACATGTCGCCCTGGCACGTCACGGTCTCGGGATGTCGCAGCGAAGTGATGCGAAGCGACAACACAAAAATCTGGAGGGCGGCACCCCGTGGGGGAGTGAATTTTCATTAAAAATGATGATAAAACACTGTAAATACCGATGTTTTATGCATTTGGAGGGTCTAAAACCCTAGTAAAACACACTTTTTTCATCATGATCTTGACATGGGATAAACAAAAACATTGACAGGCACCAAAAAAAACAAACCACTAGATGCACCAAACATCGACAGGCACCAAAAAAAACAAAAAAACAAAAAATCCAGCAACTACTCAGAAGTGGACCCATAGTTCCTGGAAATTTTAGTTTTTTTATGTTTTTGGTGCCTGTGCAGGTTTGGTGCATCTAGTGGTTTGTTTTTTTTGGTTTTTTTGGTGCCTGTGCAGATTTGGTGACTCTGACTTCACAAAACATTGACAGGCACCAAAAAAAACAAAAAAAACAAACCACTAGATGCACCAAACATCGACAGGCACCAAAAAAAACAAAAAAAACAAAAATTCCAGCAACTACTCAGAAGTGGACCCATAGTTCCTGGAATTTTTAGTTTTTTTGGTTTTTCTTGGTGCCTATGCAGGTTTGGTGCATCTAGTGGTTTGTGACTCTGACTTCACAAAACATCGACAGGCACCAAAAAAACAAAAAAACACAAAAATCCAGCAACTACTCCCGAAGTGGACCCATAGTTCCTGGAATTTTAGTTTTTTTGTTTTTTTGGTGCCTGTGCAGGTTTGGTGCATCTATCTAGTTGTTTGGTTTTTTTGGTTTTTTTGGTGTCCTGTGCGGTTTGGTGACTCTGGACTTCACAAAACATCGACAGGCACCAAAAAAAACCAAAAAAAACAAACCACTATATTCCCAAACATCGACAGCACCAAAAAAAAACAAAAAAAAAATCCAAAAAAACAAAATTCCAGCAACTACTCAGAAGTGGACCATAGTTCCTGGAAATTTTAGTTTGTTTTTTTTGTTTTTTGGTGCTTGTGCAGGTTTGGTGCATCTATTGGTTTGTTTTTTTTGATGCCTGTGCAGGTTTTGGTGATTCTAGATTGTGTATGTTTGGATCTTGGCCATCTTTTAAACTTATGTTTCAAAGAAGCAAACATACCGTTATCTTTGAATAGCTATGCCACCACACAGGTTGCCTGACCTTAATATTCAACAGCTTGACACACGTCTTTGTCTCTTTGGTTTTCTCTCTCTCTCTCTCTGCCTAACTATTGAAATGAGACTGCTGACAAGACTCTGCAAAATAACAATGATAAACGAGATATGTACCTACTTCTTGAGTTGTAACATTCCCACCATCCTTCTTATCCAGAGTGTTAGATGTGCTTGTGTTATATCCACCTATATAATGTATGCCCTTCCCACCATACTTCTTATGTAGCGCAAATGCTTCTATATACAGTATATGTTAAGATGATATCAATCTAACAAGTTCATGAAGAAACAGCTATATCATATTAATTGCTTTTAGCAATAAAATTTCTCCATCACCTCCATCACACTAGTCACCTATTGCTACTGTATATTCTGTTCCAAGATGTGCAGCTACCCATTCTTATGGCATGTTGTGCAGCAGATGTTTTCTGTTATGTGCTGATTGTTTGTAGTTCTTTGCAAGCCTCACAGGAAAATTGAATCCTGCCACAAGAGTCTGTAAATGCCAGTGATTCATGACAGCATATGAGAGCCTTTGGAGGTGAACTCTATTTTTTGCTCTAAAATAACGGTTTTAAGCCCATTTTGGTCATAAAACACTGTAAATACCAGTATTTTTGACTACTTCTTGAGTTGTAACATTCCCACCATCCTTCTTATCCAGAGTGTTAGATGTGCTTGTGTTATATCCACCTATATAATGTATGCCCTTCCCACCATACTTCTTATGTAGCGCAAATGCTTCTATATACAATATATGTTAAGATGATATCAATCTAACAAGTTCATGAAGAAACAGCTATATCATATCAATTGCTTTTAGCAATAAAATTTCTCCATCACCTCCATCACACTAGTCACCTATTGCTACTGTATATTCTGTTCCAAGATGTGCAGCTACCCATTCTTATGGCATGTTGTGCAGCAGATGTTTTCTGTTATGTGCTGATTGTTTGTAGTTCTTTGCAAGCCTCACAGGAAAAATTGAATCCTGCCACAAGAGTCTGTAAATGCCAGTGATTCATGACAGCATATGAGAGCCTTTGGAGGTGAACTCTATTTTTTGCTCTAAAATAACGGTTTTAAACCCACTTTGGTCATAAAACACTGTAAATACCAGTATTTTTGATCATTTTTAAAGCAAAAATCACTCCCCCATGAGGGGCCGTTCTGGAAATAAAATAGCACAAAAATGCGGAAAAACACAAACACATTTGACAAAGCGACAAAGTTTTACATGTTTTACATTGTTTGTCGGACAAATTGGTAATTTCACATAGGTTGCACAACTTGTTTCACAACGTGTCTCACAACGAGGTTCACACGTTTCACATGTTATGTGTGTGTATGTATGTATGTATATATATATATGTATGTAAATGTATGTATGTATATATATATATGTATATATATATGTATATATATATATATGTATATATATATGTATATATATATATATGTATATATATATGTATATGTATATATATATATATGTATATATATACATATATATATACATATATATATATGTGTGTGTGAGTGTGTGTTTAACACAACTGGTCTTCTTGGCATGGAACACCCCCAGTGCTTTTTTGGTATGTTGTCCCAGTCGCAACTATTGAGTTTCTGGATGATGGATATTTGTGGAGGTTCATGGCTCACATCAATTCATTCTGAATTCGTTTGAAAACAGTCGGCCACAACAGTTGATCGATCTTCGAACCTGGTGTAGCTGCCGTCCAAACGAATCACCACGTTTGAGAACAGCGACCTGAAAACGACAAACCATGTCGCATGTCAAACCTACATCGGGTTGATGTTGAAAGCCCGGAAAACGGATTGATGAAAAGCAGAGAGAGAGAGAGAGAGCACATTCGATTCTAGACCAAACATAAAGTTTGGGCTAGCGGCTAGCTTAGTATTATCACTTTCTACTCTTCTATTTTTACACCCTACACTCCATACTCCATGCAGAACTGTCATGATTCATGAACCGTATAAAATGTATAAAGAGCCAGGATCATCCTTATCCGGTAACCCCGACCCCATTCGAACTGATCCTCAGGCGCCTCCACGCTCTCTGGTGCACCCTGTTGAGACTTGAGCAATGAAAGCTGGACCCAAGGGAACAAAAAGATTCAAGGCGGCATCACGCCATGGATATGCTTCGACATGTGACACGTGCAATGCGAATGATCGAAACATATCGAAACAACACAAGCTTGCCAGGATTTGCCAGGACTCCGGATGGGGAGATCGCAAGATGGATGCGAAGGCATGAGAAAACATCATAGACATGGACCAAATATGGACCAAATGCCAAAGGCTCGAGTATTGAGGTATCACTGGTATCACAGAAAAGAAAAAACGATTGACAACTGGCAATGTGCGGCAATGTGACAATGGGCAGTTTGGAGATAGGAGAGTGACAGAAGGGAGAATGTGGGGAGAAGTGAAGAAGTTCTGCCACTGCGATCAAATGGCATCTGGCCACAGTCATATTGAGTTGATATTAAGAGTTGTCTCTATGCCTAGAGAAGCTGTTGCTTCCATGGTAAAACGGACGAAAATTATGAGTGGTCATCTCTTACAAGAGCAAAGCAAACGCAAATGGATCCGAATAACTTGAAACCTCTTTGAGTTGCAAATGTCTTTAACCTAAAGCTGTGCCCCAGCGCCTCAGCCCTTCTTGGAGGTGACAGGTATACTGAGGCCTGACACTCGAGCTGCTCGAGCTGCTAATGCATTACTAATGCAAAGAAAAACCGCATCGACAATCCTAGATCAATGTGAGACGCAACTTTTGCGCAAAGAACGACTTGCTATGACAAGACCCAGTGACTTGTTGGAGCAAGTAGGCAACTTACCCGAGTAACGACAGCTTTAACTTCAGGTCACTTGCTCGTTCTTGCACACTCTAATTCCCTGCCTGACCAAAGAGGACCAAACATTGACCATGGAACCATGCCTCCAGGACAAAGTGCACTTGTTATATCTTGTGACTGTCACAAGGACTGGAAGCAATCCACATGGGGTTGTTCAAAGACGAGCCAACTCCCAGGTGGCATCTTGCCAGGTTTCTCACTGCATTCAGATTCAAGGCATGCAGCCACAAAACGATTCACTTGCCAACTCGGCACGAAACGCATGAAACATGAACTTGCTAATATTGCTATTGGTGCAAGATGGTGCAAGATGGTGCAAGATGGTGCAAGATGGTGCAAGATGGTGCAAGATGGTGCAAGATGGTGCAAGATGGTGCAAGATGGTGCAAGATGGTGCAAGATGGTGCAAGATGGTGCAAGATGGTGCAAGATGGTGCAAGATGGTGCAAGATGGTGCAAGATGGTGCAAGATGGTGCAAGATGGTGCAAGATGGTGCAAGATGGTGCAAGATGGTGCAAGATGGTGCAAGATGGTGCAAGATGGTGCAAGATGGTGCAAGATGGTGCAAGATGGGCAAGATGGGCAAGATGGGGCAAGATGGTGCAAGATGGTGCAAGATGGTGCAAGATGGTGCAAGATGGTGCAAGATGGTGCAAGATGGTGCAAGATGGCGCAAGATGGTGCAAGATGGTGCAAGATGGTGCAAGATGGTGCAAGATGGTGCAAGATGGTGCAAGATGGTGCAAGTAGCAAAAAAAGCACTTGCTTCATCAATATCAAAGCGACCAACGTGTTCAGCTCGACTCTCGACTCTCGACACTGGGTCTCTCCTTGGAGCCTTCCAGCGTTGTCCCGGGTGGGAGTTGCTCAATAGCAGCCTCACATGTCATAGCCATAACCGACTCCGGCTCATTTGCTCCGCAAAACGGTGGAAACAGTGGGGAAAAAAAGAAGAAACACGATGACTTACGATGACTTTGTGCTTTGATATCAATCCAGTTTCATATCCAATTTCAATGGTTTCCTATGTCTAAGACTTCCGAGCCTTCCAACCAAGGCTTGTTCGGAACACTTGTCAAGCAAAAATGGTTGAATTGGGAGCAACCAACACCTCCTTCATCAATGCTTCCGGTGTCCAAGTCAGGGAGGCTTCTGACAGGGAGGATTTCCTGGAGGATGTATAGGTAAATTAGGTAAATCAACTTCCGCTTTCTTCTTTAGGTTCCGCATGTGCGGTACCAACACGAAAAGTTCTCCCAGGGTTCCAGACCGATTCTGCCAAGGCTTTGCGCACGCGGACGCACAGGGCCCGGAGCTGCGTGTTGCGGGCCTGGTCTAGGCCCTTCAACACCTGGCACTGAAAGGAAGGCATTCAAACACACAGATCTTCGATTGGACACGTATCCACAAATTACATCAAATTACTTGTTTGGTTGAAAGTTGAAAGCACCTCAAGGAACTCTCAAGTAATTGAGATTGCCAGGAGCAATCAACTCATTTCAGTTGCTTATATTCAGTACCAAACTCAATGACTCCATGCACAGCTTGAAACTGCTGATACTTTGCTCCCGTATGTTCCAACTGCCACCTTTGATCCTGGACGTTGAGCATCGCAGTCTGAAAGATTCTGAGAGAAAGTTCATGTTCAGACTGCTATTCTGTTTATGTCAGTTTATGTCAGACTGTTATTCTGTTCACGGATACTGCGGAGATGCCTCACCTCTTCCTTTTGAGCCGGCGCCCGCTTGGGGAGTGGTTGTTCGAGCGGGACGCTCTTGTGCCTCGATTGCACTCTGAAATCATGAAACCCTACGCCTACCCCCCCAGAGCCTACCCCCCCAGAGTGGCCATCCTTATTAAGGATTCCGGGATTTGGGAAAAAAATCCTGGAACGATCCTTATTAAGGGTTTGGCCGCTGCAGCAATTGAAAAAATCAGAAATCCTTATTAAGGATTCAGCAAGAGGTTCCTGGATCCTTATTAGTGACCTATTAAGGGTTGACACATCAGCTGCAGACAAAAAGAGCAGCAAACCTTAATAAGGCCTTGTTAAGGTTCAGGCACATGTTCGGATTTGTTACAGGAATTCTGGAAATTTCAGGATTTCTTGAACGTCGGTCAATGTTTTCACCACGAAGAGTTGATGTTTGTCCTGCCAACGGTGAAACTTCACAAAAAAATCCAGTGCACACGGGTGGGCCAGCAAAACCAAAGTCTGACTCTGACATGGTCAGAAACTAGTTTTGAGACTTTCTGCCCAGCCTGCTGAGGTACTGGATAAATTTGAGTTATTTCTGAAATATTTCTGACTAGAATTTCTGAAAAAATTCGGAAATTCGTCAAAATTCGAGAAAAGCAACGCAAAAAGTTTGAAAATAGCAAAACCGCTAGTTTTCCTCCACTTTTGGTACCTGGGAACTGCCAAAAATAATGAAAAACTAGCTGAACATTTTGAAAACACAAGCAAAACAGTTAATTCATCCATTTTTGAATGGCTGGCAGCAGAAAATTTCTAGATTCACAAATTTTTCAGAAAATTTCAAATTTTTTCAAAAATTTTCAGAAATTTCTTGGAAAATTTCTGGAATTCGTCACAATTCGAGAAAAGCAACGCAAAAAGTTTGAAAATAGCAGCAAAACAGCTAGTTTTCCACCTGGGAACTGCCAAAAGTAATGAAAAACTAGCTGAAAAATTTGAAAACAGCAGCAAAACAGCTAGTTTTCATCCATTTTTGAATGGGTGGCAGCAGAAAATCCCTGGAGTCACAATTTTTCAGAAAATTTCAGATTTTTTCAGTTTTTTTTATTTTTTTTCAAAAAAAATTGAAAAAAATGAAATTTGTCAAAATTCGAGAAAAGCAACGCAAAAAGTTTGAAAATAGCAAAACCGCTAGTTTTCCTCCACTTTTTGTACCTGGGAACTGCCAAAAGTAATGAAAAACTAGCTGAAAAATTTGAAAACAGCAGCAAAACAGCTAGTTTTCATCCATTTTTGAATGGGTGGCAGCAGAAAATCTCTGGAGTCACAAATTTTTCAGAAATTTTTCGATTTTTAAAGAAAATTTTCAGAAATTTCTGGAAAATTTCTGAAATTCGTCATAGTTCGAGAAAAGCAACGCAAAAAGTTTGAAAATAGCAGCGAAACAGCTAGTTTTCCGCAACTTTTGGTACCTGGGAACTGCCAAAAGTAATGAAAAACTAGCTGAAAAATTTGAAAGCAGCAGCAAAACAACCAGTTTTCATCCATTTTTGAATGGGTGGCAGCAGAAAATCCCTGGATTCACAATTTTTTAAAAAAAAATCAATTTTTTCTTAGAAATTTCAGAAATGTCTCAAAAAATTCTGAAAAATTTCTGACATTAGTCAAAATTCGAGAAAAGCAACGCAAAAACTTTGAAAATAGCAGCAAAACAGCTAGTTTTCCGCAACTTTTGGTACCTGGGAACTGCCAAAAGTAATGAAAAACTAGCAAAACAGTTAGTTTTCATCCATTTTTGAATGGCTGGCAGCAGAAAATCTCTGGATTCAAAATTTTTTCAGAAAATTTCAGATTTTTTCGAAAATTTTCAGATTTTTTTTGAAAAATTTCTGAAATTCGTCACAATTCGAGAAAAGCAACGCAAAAACTTTGAAAATAGCAGCAAAACAGCTAGTTTTCCGCAACTTTTGGTACCTGGGAACTGCCAAAAGTAATGAAAAACTAACTGAAAAAATTGAAAACAGCAGCAAGACAGTTAGCCTTCATCCATTTTTGAATGGCTGGCAGCAAAAAAAATCTGGATTCACAAATTTTTCAGAAAATTTAAATTTTTTTCAGAAATTTTCAGAAATTTCTGAAAAAATTCTACAATTCGTCACAATTCGAGAAAAGCAACGCAAAAAGTTTGAAAATAGCGAAACAGCTAATTTTCCTCCACTTTTGGTACCTGGGAACTGCCAAAAATTATGAAAAACTAGCTGAACAATTTGAAAACAGCAGCAAAACAGCTAGTTTTCATTCATTTTTGAATGGTTGGCAGCAGAAAATTTCTGGATTCACATTTTTTTCAGAAAAAATATTTTTTTCAATTTTTTCAATTTTTTCTGAGAAAAAAATTTAGCTTATTTCTGAAAATTTTCTGAAATTCGTCAAAATTCGAGAAAAGAAACGCAAACAGTTTGAAAATAGCAGCAAAACATTTAGTTTTCCACCTGGGAACTGCCAAAAGTAATGAAAAACTAGCTGAAAAATTTGAAAACAGCAGCAAAACAACCAGTTTTCATCCATTTTTGAATGGCTGGCAGCAGAAAATATCTGGATTCGAAAAGTTTTGCGAAATGTTCGATTTTTTCAGACAATTTTCAGAAATTTCTGAAAAATTTCTGAAATTCGTCACAATTCGAGAAAAGCAACGCAAAAAGTTTCAAAATAGCAGCGAAACAGCTAGTTTTCCGCAACTTTTGGTACCTGGGAACTACCAAAAGTAATGAAAAACCAGCTGAAAAATTTGAAAGCAGCAGCAAAACAACCAGTTTTCATCCATTTTTGAATGGGTGGCAGCATAAAATCTCTGGAGTCACAATTTTTCAGAAAATTTCAGATTTTTTCACTTTTTTTTATGTTTTTTCAAAAAAAATTGAAAAAAATGAAATTTGTCAAAATTCGAGAAAAGCAACGCAAAAAGTTTGAAAATAGCAGCAAAACCGCTAGTTTTCCTCCACTTTTTGTACCTGGGAACTGCCAAAAGTAATGAAGAACTAGCTGAACATTTTGAAAACAGCAGCAAGACAGTTAGCCTTCATCCATTTTTGAATGGCTGGCAGCAAAAAAAATCTGGATTCACAAATTTTTCAGAAAATTTATTTTTTTCAGAAATTTCTCAAAAAAAATCTGAAAGTCGTCACAATTCGAGAAAAGCAACGCAAAAAGTTTGAAAATAGCAGCGAAACACCTAGTTTTCCGCAACTTTTGGTACCTGGGAACTGCCAAAAGTAATGAAAAACTAGCGGAACAATTTGAAAACAGCAGCAAAACAGCTAGTTTTCATTCATTTTTGAAAGGTTGGCAGAAGAAAATTTCTTGATTCACAAATTTTTCAGAAAATTTAGATTTTTTCAGCTTTTTTTTTTTTAATTGAAAAATGTCTGAAAATTGTCTGAAATTCGTCAAAATTCGAGAAAAGCAACGCAAAAAGTTTGAAAATAGCAGCAAAACAGCTAGTTTTCCGCAACTTTTGGTACCTGGGAACTGCCAAAAAGTAATGAAAAACTAGCTGAACATTTTGAAAACAGCAGCAAAACAGCTAGTTTTCATTCATTTTTGAATGGCTGGCAGCAGAAAATCTCTGGAATCACAATTTTTCAGAAAAATTATTTTTTTTCAATTTTTTCATTTTTTTTAAAAAAATTAGCTCATTTCTGAACATTTTCTGAAATTCGTCAAAATTCGAGAAAAGAAACGCAAAAAGTTTGAAAATAGCAGCGAAACATTTAGTTTTCCACCTGGGAACTGCCAAAAGTAATGAAAAACTAGCTGAAAAAATTGAAAACAGCAGGGAAACAACCAGTTTTCATCCATTTTTGAATGGCTGGCAGCAGAAAATCACTGGATTCGAAAAGTTTTCAGAAATTTTCGGATTTTTTCAGAAAATTTTCAGAAATTTCTCAAAAAAAATCTGAAATTCGTCACAATTCGAGAAAAGCAACGCAAAAAGTTTGAAAATAGCAGCGAAACAGCTAGTTTTCCGCAACTTTTGGTACCTGGGAACTGCCAAAAAGCAACGAAAAACTAGCTGAACATTTTGAAAGCAGCAGCAAAACAACCAGTTTTCATCCATTTTTGAATGGGTTGCAGCAGAAAATTTCTGGAGTCACAATTTTTTCAGAAAATTTCATTTTTTTCAGTTTTTTTTTTTTTTTTTTTCAAAAAAAATTGAAAAAAATGAAATTTGAGCAACGCAAAAAGCAAAACCGCTAGTTTTCTTCCACTTTTTGGTACCTGGGAACTGCCAAAAGTAATGAAAAACTAACTGAAAAAATTGAAAACAGCAGCAAGACAGTTAGCCTTCATCCATTTTTGAATGGCTGGCAGCAAAAAAATTCTGGATTCACAAATTTTTCAGAAAATTTAGATTTTTTTTCACTGAAAAAAATCTGAAATTCGTCACAATTCGAGAAAAGCAACGCAAAAAGTTTGAAAATAGCAGCGAAACACCTAGTTTTCCGCAACTTTTGGTACCTGGGAATTGCCAAAAGTAATGAAAAACTAGCTGAGCAATTTGAAAACAGCAGCAAAACAGCTAGTTTTTTCATTCATTTTTGAAAGGTTGGCAGAGGAAAATTTCTGGACTCACAAATTTTTCAGAAAATTTAGATTTTTTCAGCTTTTTTTTTAATTGAAAAATGTCTGAAAATTGTCTGAAATTCGTCAAAATTCGAGAAAAGCAACGCAAAAAGTTTGAAAATAGCAGCAAAACAGCTAGTTTTCCGCAACTTTTGGTACCTGGGAACTGCCAAAAAGTAATGAAAAACTAGCTGAACATTTTGAAAACAGCAGCTAAACAACCAGTTCTCATCCATTTTTGAATGGGTGGCAGCAGAAAATCTCTGGAGTCACATCTTTCTCAGAAAATTTCAATTTTTCAGATTTTTTTTCAGAAATTTCTGAAAAAATCTGAAATTCGTCACAATACGAGAAAAGGAACGCAAAAAGTTTGAAAATAACCGCAAAAAACAGCTAGTTTTCCTCCACTTTTGGTACCTGGGAACTGCCAAAAGTAATGAAAAACTAGCTGAAAAATTT